TTATAATCCAAAGAGCCCTACCAATTCCAGGGTATAGGCTGAACAAGTAAACAGCCAAAAATGAAAACAAAGTTAAAATGTGGGACAACTTTAATAAGACATAGGAAAAATAAATGCTAATGGCTAAAGCCTATTAGAAGGAAATATATTTCAGTCATGCTGTAAATTAAATAAGACATGTAAACCAAAACTAGTCAAATACAAACACATTATTAGCTTTTAAATAGAACGCATTGGAAATACAGATAGGAAAGAAAATGACAAGTTATAAAACTCATACATACACTAAACCTCGATTTATTCTGAGCTATTAGCTCTTAAGTGGTCTGCAATACCGGACAAACCATTGCTAATTAAATTTTAAATGAAAAAGCCTTGTTGATTATGTAACCAAAGATACAATTTGCAAGAAAATACGTTCTTTATTACCAAGCACAACACATATTATAGGATTATTAAGGCACTGAACTAAAATAAATTAGAGAGCAAATAGAACACATTTGCCTTAAAATTTGCTTTTTGAGTTGCTAAGGTCTATAAATGCAAATATGTCAAATGACTTTAGGGGCATTTATAGAGATGGGCTGCCAAGCTTTGTAGCATGTAGCATTATGTAAGTGGAGAAGCCTGTCAGCTCTTAAACTTCTCTTGCTCTTGGTCAGTTCAGTGAAGTCCCTTCTTTACAAGGCAGCAGTGAGAAGACTTCTATCAGGACTTAAGATAAAAGTTAAGGCAAGCTTGATATAGGGGTTTGGGCCATGATTCACACCAGCAAGCCAAAGACAATAATAATAATTTCTGGTTAAATTAAGTTATTTCAGTTGGGTCCAGTGACAGTACAAGAGATAACAAGCACAGATTGAAACACAGAAAATTCCACCTAAACACAGAAAACAGTTCTTGGCTTTGAACAGGTTGCTCAGAGAGGTTATGGAGTCCTCATACTTGGAGATACTCAAAAACCACCCAGACAGGGCCATGAGTAGCCTGCTCTGTGTGACCTGACTTGGAGCAGTCTCTTCTAGCATCAGTTATTCTGTGATTCTGTTTTTCCCCCTCAGCTCAGCAGCAGATGAATCCCACTTGCAATACAGTTACAAGCAAAAAGTATATGACCTCTGCAGCTAATGTGAATCACAAAGAAAACCGGATGGGCTCAGCCCATCTTGCTGCAGTGGCCTCAGGTTTGCAAGTCAGTATATATATTTTCTCAAACACTTCTACCTGGAACACATTCCATCCATCATGCTGTTCTGTTTGTAGCTCAAACATACCCAGCTCAGGTTTTCCAATACAACTTACTGAATCTGCAGATTTGCCAGTTACAGCTAAGTAGTCCAAATCTAATATATTACTCAGGCTCTGCAAAGTGCACAGTAGGGACCTGAGCCAGTATATTTTTTTATTTAATTCTAGATTCTGTCACAACTGCAGTTGTTCCGATTCAGGTGCCAGAAGCAGTCTGCTAACTGATTCTCTCACACTGAGCCAGTTCACATAGGATAAACTGGACTTAAAAATGAAAGGTGATGTGACAGGGACAGGGTCCGTAAAGTCTCGCAGACAGGAACATGCCTTAATGCTGGCTCCTGCAGACACCACTACCATCACCAGCAGAAGTTTTTCTTCAACTCTACAATGCAGAGTTCGTCACAATGAAAAAACAAAAATATGCCCAAAATCTCCCCACGAACTGAAGGTGTCTTTAGGGATATAAACAAATTTCCCACATTAGACGGATGCTTGAATACCATCCACCAAGCCTTACAATGCAAAGATTGCATCTCATCCTGAATGACACAGTAAAGTAGAAGCTCAGCATAAATACTCTGCAGATCTCAGATGGTCTCAGATCAAACCAACCCCATGTTGAAGCAGTCTCTGCAGTTGAATCTGCTGAAAATAACATCTGGAAACAACATCAAAGAAAAATTCCAAATCCAAAAAGGAGGAAAGGAGGAAAGAGGTGAAAATAAAAAAGGAAAAAAGTGAAAAGAAAAAAAGGAAAAAAAGAAAAGAGAACATTCTAACTGATAATCCTTTGGGCTTTGCTTTGGTTTATGTTCCTGGCTAACGACAATTAAATGTTATTCCCTCCTCCATCCCAATAATGTAAAATATAGAGAAAACATTATGTTAAAATAATTAGTGTAAGCTATTCTTACATGTCAGTTTTACACCTATGATGACTACATGGGTCTAAAAAAGTAATGATGGATCTGAGATTTACTGAGATTTTAATCCTACTCTTCCCACTGTTACAGCGCATGCATACAATTGTACCCATATCTCATCTAATTTAATTTTTGCAGATGAAAGAAAAACAAAACAAAAAAAGACCTTGGCTTTTCAATAAAGCTATTCTGAAAAGACACAAATAAATTTTTAAAATTATTTTTATTGACTTATTCTGAAGAAATGTCATCATCTAGTTTAGAGAAATAGAATTTATTCCAATAATGAGCACTTATTATCTGAAAATTACACTTCTTTTGCCATTCTACTGCATGGCACAGGAACAACAAAGAGCAGCAGCCATTAAGATATTGCAGTAAACACATTTATTCTTCAGGCCTTAAGTCAGTCTGAAATGCGTAGTGCAACAGTGATTTATCAGGTAATTGGCACAAGTTTCTGATTCTTATTCCAAATGGTTAATTACAAATTTCAATTTTGCCACAGAAGTTTTCTGTAAATTAACACTGTCACAATTCATTGTGTCTCTACATATGTGCATATAACATTAAAAACATTTAAACATTTCACTTAGGATTCAACAGCTTTGAAGACAGTGTAACTGTGAGTGAAAAGTAATCATTTAAACATACCTTAGTAAACATGTTTTCCCCTGGATTTTAGGGTCCTTTAACAGCAGTCATACAGATACTGTATTCATGATCTACTCTTGAAATAGAAGTAGTATTTTTGTAGTCTGCATGTCCAGTACAAATATGCAAAACATTTTCTACACTGACATATTCACTTCAATGCACAAAACCCTTCCATTGCTCCACTTATTCCATTAGTGTAGGGATTAAACGATGCAGGAGACTTTCTGCATTGAGGTGAATGTCATTTTTAACAAGCCACTAAAAAGATAAATGATACAACAACCATGCAACTACGACTCAATACTGAAAAATATTTGCAAATAAATGTCTAAGTGTAAACAGTAAATTCAGGTCCAGCCTCAGAGAGGAGGTAACTTCTCTCTATGGCAGTAGACCCTGATTCAATCCAGCATTTAAGAAACCACTTATTAACATTAAGCACTAGCTTTAGTCGATACAATTTAAATTCAGGCTTATATGCTTTCTTGAGCTCAATGCTTAGAAAAGGCTCAATTACAAATTAAGAGTAACAAAACAATCAATAGTGCACTGGGAAAATAAAAACGTACAAGCTCATTTCAGATTTAACAACTGGACAAATGTAATAAATGCAAAGTGTGAAAGACTAAACTTACTTTGCCAGTGCTACATTCCAGAAGTATAAATCTGAAATACTATAAAGACATTTGTTTTGCTCTCACTTCACCTCCTACCATATACATTATTTGAGTAATTTCTTCAATCAAACAACTTTTTCACATTGAACTTGCTGAGTACAAACAAAAACAGAACTGGCAAACACAAAAGGCAAAGCAACACATTAAAGCAGGCACTGCTATTTCGCAGGGCAAGCTCAGCACCTCCCCGTCCTAAGCAGCCAGCACCTGCCTCACTGGGGAAGCGCCCGGCACAGCGTGGGGGAATCCCATGGGACAAGTAATGGTGAGATCCACAAAACAACTAAGAGAAGCAAGTTTAATTTCACAGCTTGCACAAAAACAATAAAAAATAAAGCCTAAGTGACAGATCCTCATCTTCAAGGAGCTCTTGGCTTAAAACCAAAGCAAATAATTGCAAGGTAACACGCCATATGCTTGCTGTTGTCTCAGCCTTGCGACCTCTCTTTGTGCTCTGAAGAATTAGAGCAGTAGCGCAGGCATTTCATAGTCCCTGCGAGCAGCGTATGTGCAACCTTGTCCTATCGATAAAAGGAAAGGTTAATTCCTCACACACGTAGTAATTGGCACTCCTTAACTGAGTGAATTAGTGCCCTTTTGATGGATATATTTGTGTGGGGACCATTTTTCCTGAGGAAATTTATTTTCAGTGGAACTATTAAATATTCATCAGAGAGCAGCAACTCTGTTAGCACCAAGCAAGCCACATCTAAACACTGACCTACTGATGCAAAAAACTGCCTTCTTGACCCTGAGCTACCCAGTGCCTATTTATAAAATTACTCTAATCTGTTGAGCAAAAAGATGATGCTATCCTTCAAATTCATATAGGCATTAAATTAAATGAAGTTGCTTGGAAGAATTCCTTTTGGACCCTCAGTATTTTTTTTCATTATTTAGAGAACATAACCAGACCTACACCATATAGACACAGTTTTGTCTTACGTACTACATCCCTCCCATTTTTGATCCTTTCACAGGTCAATCTGTAGACAAATCTATGGAAAGAGATACTCATTTTATTCCTAAATGAAGAAAAAAATGTAAAAATTACTCTTCAAAGCAGGTAAGCTACTTATTTTCATATAGTGTTAGGCAATTAAAAATGTTGCAAATCAGTACTATGAATTTCAGCATGTCTCTACTCTTCCTTCCAAAAACATTTCTCCAATACGTACAAGATGGTAGAAAGTATAAACAGAGCAAAAGCTTTTACCAGTGCTTACAATTCTTATATGTAACCTAAAATCTGCATTAAGAAAAGATCAGTAAACCCTGGTACCATTGCACGGAACATCAAAAACTTCCAAATTTCTGGACTGTTACATAATCAGTTCAGTCTTAAATTATAACATCACATAAGCATATATAAAATCGAGCTACATGTAAACAAATTATACTTCCTCTGCACTGTACAAACTGTACACTTCAAAAAAGACAGTTTTTGCCTATATATAAATATATATATATTATTTTCCTTAAGCTTTAGAAATCAGCTGGAGCTTTCATCATGAAGTGCTCTGTTTCTCTGCAACACCATATTTAATTCCTGAATCACATTTGATGGCAATTTGTTATCCATATCCAAAGTAGTCTTGTTTGCTTTGCTCTTATTTTTCTTCAGTGTTTTTGCTTCCTTACGTGGTCTTTGATCAGTCCTACCTACACCTCTGTCTTCCACATAGGTCAAGCTCCGATGTTTCTTTGCTTGATTTTGCACTTCTTCCTCCTTGCGTTCCAAACACTGTGCCACAATAGATGCTTTTTCTTTCAAGTTTTTTCTTTCTTCCAGTAAGTCATCCTCATGATGCTCAACAAGTTTTGGTTTCCTAGATTCCAATCCTATATTCTGAACAAACATGCAAAGATAAATAAGATCATTCAAATTAACACAATATTCAACAATATTTAGATCGCAATTTTGCATACTAGTTTCACATAACAGTTTAAAAGAAGAATCAATTTCACTAAAGACCTGGGATAGAACAGTTAAAAGTTCTAAATTCCCACAATTTGTGCTATTATGATTTAGTGAGCATATTTGCTTGATTAGTGATACTTCTGAAAATTACATAAATTTACAAATTAAATTCACCATGACAGTGAATGAATTGAGGACATTCATTTTGAAGACATTCACAATTTGATTTTTCATCCTATCATGGTATATTAAATTTAAACTTTCACAGTAACAGTAAACAGTAGCAAAACACATCAGATTATGTAGTCTTTACAACTTTATGGAGCTATAAATAAAAATCATAAGGCTGCCATTTTGATTACATAATGCCTGAGCTAGATGAATGTGCAAAATGCAATACTCTATACACACAAATACCCTTCAGAAGATGTTCAACACTGCCCAGTAAATTAGAAGATTTTGTCTTATTTTTCAAGTTATGCCTACATACTGAGAAATCAGCTAAAACGAGTTGAGGGCAATATAATGTTCGATATTGGTGCCTCTTTCCAAATTCTTAGGTTGTAGGATATCTACATATGCATAGTGAAAAAGTATTGAGGATCTGATATCTATACCATACCCTCCCCGCTTTTTTCTTTCTTTCTTTCTTTTTTAAATACACTTTAAACTAACTGTAGCCTTCTCCTACAGACTGTATTCTTCTTTGTGTGCATTAGATATAGTCTTGGAGAACAAATTCCAGTTCAGCTTCATCTGAAAAAAATACAAATGCACATGATCTGATAATACAAAGAAGTTACAGCAGCTATTGGTAGATTTGCTTCTAAAGTGAGTTCCTGATCCAGAATAGAAAACTCATGTATATATCTATAAACTAGCTCTTCTTTTCCTAAAAGAGGGTCTGAATATTTTCACATTTTCTTTAGTGAATATGAGGCATTGAAATTGCATGAGATGATTTGCTCGTATGCTATGGGTGAATAACTCCCAAATGTTCACATGCCATACAAGAATGTGAAAGAATCAAGGTTCCCTTCAGTGCTTTCTGGTTGTCAACACACATGTTACATGTATATATATGTATATGTATATATGCATATATATATATATATATATATATATAAAATCCTAACCTCATTTTCTTTTAGAAATACAGGGCGTTTCCACAAATGGAATGACCTGCATACTGCCACATGATATGATATTATTGCATTATGTATTATTGTATTATGTAGACAATACAATAATACCCCTACTGGTTTTGTTTGCCTTTTTGTTCTAAAGTGACACTGATTTCTTCATGAGATCAGAAAATATAAGCCCAGTGCAAAAGTAAGTGTTGTTGCAGCAAATTATTTTCATTCAGAGAGATCTAAGCTATAACAACAAAGTCTAAGCTTTCACCTCAGCTAGGATTTATTCAATAATAAAAGCAATAAACACAAGCATTTGGACCACATAAATCACATCTATTTCAACTTAGGAACTGTCCCAACGGGGAAGGTCTGATCTGGTTATTCTTTGGAAGAGGTATCATCTTCCATTTCAAACATGGATAAAAGCAAGTGTGGGATGAGTGATTCATGCTCAGTTAATAAAATAATAGAAATTACTATCTGAGGTACAATACACACAACGTATAAAATTTAAATCCATTAATATAAAACATTAACATTTGTTATTCAATCCCTTAAAAATGAAATAACACATTCTAAGCTATAAATTAGTCTTTAACTTCACTCTGAAGCAATAAACTATTTACAACATTCTTGTACATCACATTTCAATTTTGCATCTTCTGAGAAAAATTTTGACTACACTTCAAAAATCAACATATTTCCTCTGCTAAACAACATATAGCAAGGGCCCTCCTCCCCTTCTCTCCTTGTCTCCCTCTCAATGTGTGTTTCCCAGTAAACTTTCTTTTACATGAAATAAGAACAGAGCAAATACAATACTGAAATTTAAAAGATACTTCTTTTTTTTGCAATAGTCTAGTATATTGACATATATTTACTTAACACAGACTATTTGGAGCTTATTCACTTTATGAAGTTAAACCCTAATTTTCAAATTGAAATGAAACTACTAGTAGTAAAACAGACACAGTAGTACCTTAGCTTATGAGTAACATGTCAAGATGATGTGTGGAAAAAAAAAAAACGCTGCCATATCCTATTTCCTAATAATATTATTTATTAATAATGTAAACCCTTGCACACTTATTTACCACAAAAATACACTGCTGGAATCTATACTTTTCCCCCAGTAATCCCTAACACAAAAAGCAACTATTTCACATAAAGAGAAGCTGTTTTGTCTCTCTAGTAACTTTAAGCAAATAATAGGTAAATAAATTTATAATAATTTGTATATTCTTCTTCTGCACATTTCCAACAAAAAATAAAGACTATATCTATCTACATCTTTCACTGTTCCTAAGACATCCTGCTTCCTTCAACATGCTACACAAGTAAAACCTACTATAAGTCAGTATGGTATTTGATTATGGTTTTAAAGAAAGAATTTTTTCCTTGTACCTCAGTCTTCTTGTTTTTATATATGAAAAAATGCATAGACTTACTACAAAAATGCAGGAATGTATTTCTAATTTACTTAAATTATCCTATATTCTTTTCATATTCTAAATGCACTTTTCATGTACTGAATGTAGGTACTGAGCGGTGCAGAAAAAATGTAAAACTGTTCATTCTATTTGCTTTAGGAGTTTTTTTAATTATACAAGTGATTGAAGACTTCCTTTATTACACATTTATTTTGTTAGCACACAGTACTTCCAATAAATATCAATGCAAAAAGAAAATCTATACTTTTTTTTTTTTTTTTTTTTTTTAGGACAGGTACTAAACTACTGGGTACATTGCTGTTTAATGTTTCTCCCAAGTTATATCATGTACCTCTCATCAGTCTCTTTCCACATAAATAAGTGTTAATTTATATTTTCCACTATATAATCTCATCTCAAAATTCCAAAGCATGCATATATCCTTTGCATAAGTCTTGTCAGGATCTAGTCATGGCATAAATAGTGAAGATAATCTGCATTTAATCTTGAAAGTAGAAAATCTCTCTCTGAATTGCAGTGTACTAAACATTAAAGTCCTTGATAACAGAGCACAGCAGCACCGTCAAGAAAAATCAAGACCTATAATTGCAATCACAGCATATTATTTAGTAAGGCAGAGCAGAAATACCTGAAGAAAGTACAACAAAAACAGACAGAAAGATGGAGTTGTCTCCAATTACTTTTAGCTTTGTCTTCGGTTTGCTACAGGACTGAGTCAGCCTCACCCATCTGCGGCTCAACCACTGTCTCCGTAAACGCTGACAATACATCTCTTACTGTCTACATCCCTACTGAAACATGGAATAAATAGTATTGTATGTAGTCAAAGGTCCAAGTCGTGCTTTCTCTGTTGCCATCAGATTAGTTATCACTATTTTTCCCCAAACAGACTAACGCTTTAACTACACTACTTTTTCTCAGCTTTAAGTAAGGTAAATAATGCCTCACCACAGGCATCTATATCTCTGTGTGGATGCCAGGAATGCGTCTTATTTTAAGATGCTAAATTTGAGACATATCATTAGCTCAAGTAGCGTAGTGTGACACTCAAGTCACTCACAGACATTCTGCACCCCAACTGTGCTCTTCTTTGCTACTGCTACTTAAAAGTATAGCAGTTAGTTCCATCCAGGCTCTCCTATTACATTTACAGGGTGTGTAACTAAAACTGCATGTTTTTTCTGGCAATAGATAGTGACATACACATGCAGCACAGTATTCAAGGACTTTATGAAAATAAAACTGTCATAATGTTCAGTGCATTTGCAGGTTACGTCTATTTACTTCTAATGATCTGGTCTTGCTCACTTTCAAAGAAACAAAAAAGACCCAATTCCAGAAAAGCAAACAACAATCATCCATTAACTTACTGAGCAGCAAAAAAGCTGGTACCAGACTAGATCACATTAAATTGTCCTAACTATTGTTTTAATAGAAAAACAATGGAATTATTGATGGCATGGACAATAAAAGAATCAACCTTTTATATTTATGCAAGTCTAGAGACTTCACTACTCTTGTACCACTTCAAAGCACAGCACTGTGGTTAGAAGTTCCACAACAAGTTTAAACTCCATTTACCTCTGTACTCTCTCCAATTTTACAGGCACTCTTCTCTTGTTGAATGGGAATTAATGGCAAACCTCCAATCTTTGGACTTTTAGTTATAGACTGTTTTCTTGCTTTTCCAGCAGGTGGCCATATATCTGCATGCTGAAAAAATAAATAAATGAAAAACATTTTTGGCGTGCATTTTCAAACTAGACACCTTGGTAAAGCTATATTCCATACCACACTTTCTACCTTTTATAAGAGAAGAAGGAAGAAAGCTACAGTCTTAAAATTATGTTAATATTTTAAGTGCTCCACAATGCTGAGTGAACAGAACTGAAAAGACTCTGTAGAACTGTCATGCATCTTCCCTCCATGCTACAAATCAAAATAATTATCTACTTGGAATAAAAAAAGTCATCAAACTGGAAAAAATATCTCCATTTCATTCACATTTTCTCAATTCTAGGTAAATACACTTTCAGCTTTCAGGAGTCACAATAAAATTTTCTGAAATGAAGTAACAACTAACTCAATCTGCAAACAAGTTCTTCAATGTTTACATTCATAATTTGGGAGAAAACACTTATTGTTTATCCTGTGGTAACAACATGTGTTATACAGAATAGACTGATCTTCTGAATGCCCAACAAATACAACCTACAAACCAACAGATCTTCTGGTGAAACTAATGATAATCAGAAAGACGGCTCCAAGGACAAGGCAGTGTAAGAGATTTTTCTGCAAAAGCTCCAACATGAGTAGAAATGAGTCAAAATGCATGTACAATGTCTACATAGGAATAGTTTTCAAAGCTTGGAGCTGTGTGCACTAAGATAAACCAGCACAACTCCAAAGAAAATTGGTTACTTAGAACCCTAATTAGCAGAGGGTTAGCAGAGAAACATTAGTGAAAGTTGGGAATGTTTGGGTTAGTTTTTACAAAACGCTATTGCTTTGCATTCTTTTTAACAAGTAAGAAATTATGTGATCTTTCTAAGTAACTGTCATATCTCTAATGGATTTCACAGATTTCTTTTCATGGTTATCACGGTATTCATTGTTCCTTTTTTAAAATTACTCTTTTGGTGTTCAACCCTCTGCATCCATGAATTATGTTACTTCAAGACTGCAAAGAAAATACATGATGGGAATCTGATTTTGTTTATCTGTGTAAACAGTCTACCTGCTAACAGTTAACACAATGCTATTAAAAACCCACTAGAATGAGTTCAATTCTGTCATTACTGAATTAGAATAGCAGTCCAGGAACTGGAAGACTCAATTGCGTAGTAGCTAAAGTAGCTTCACATCTTTACGGGTTAAAGTTTCCCACAGATGATGCTGACCATGTTGTGATCTGTTGCAAGACTTCTCCCCAAGAAATGCCAAAAAAGTTCCTTTTTCACCACAGTGAAACACTAGGAATGTCTTATCTGAGAGAAGGGTTCTTGCCAACCAAAAGCAATTTATAGTTTACCAAGATATCATGTTATTCATGGAGTAGCACATGAGTTCTGTGCACAGAAATAGTGCACAGTAATGTCCCTTTGAGGAAAAAGCCCTCAAGCTAGTTATAGCAAATACAGCAGAGGTTTTCAAAGCATTAGAATGGATTTAGACATGTCTATTTTGCCACTTTACCTACTCTACCAAAAGTTTAGCTCACTTCAAGGACTTGCGACATCTTCCACACTACTTCGAAACTTTTAGATAAGAACATAAATGCTTTTAACTGCACGGTAGAATCAATGGTAGAGGACACTTCTTTGCTATTTTTGTTAAGGAGAATATGTGCAATTTAGGTGCCCAGTATGGAAGGTCAGGCTTTCCTATTGTAAACAAATGGGATTCAGAAAATAATTGAGGACCTGTAAGTTAGGCCCTGAAGGAACCTAGCTCCATGAATTTTCAGCAAGCTTAGGGGAACTATCCCTGTCAGTTAAGTAGCCCAATTTCCCTTTTGTGTCTGTAACATTTCTTAAAATAGAACTCTGGAAAATACATCAGAAATACCAACAACATATTAGGCCACATAATAAATGTATTTATTCATAGTTTTGACCTATCTGCACAACTGCACCTCATGGTATTATGCTGTGCCTCTCTAGCTGATCAGAGGCGCTGGAATTGGAAGAGACCACATATAATGGTATCCATCTTCATATCAATTAATTACTTTCAGTTGTATGCTATTAACTGATTTTGTGCAGAGCTGCATTACAAAATTCAAGAACTAGGTTTTCAAGAATCAGGTTTTAGCTGTACTCTATGGAACTATTTTCACATACAAATGGAAGAAACAATAGTTCTTCTTAGAATCATCTTAATATTTAAAGTACAAGATTAATAACAACCAGGGAAACTTGATTTTGTGTAACAAAAGTGTTAGATTACAACAGACCTAAGCTTTGCTATTTATACTCTCTGCAAAACTTACACTATGGGAGTAAACATTATCAGAAAATAGGAAAAAGAAAGAAAATAGCACCTTACTGATACTGCTTACTAATAAAATCTTCCTCTGCTAGAGCACTGAAGAGCACAGTAACATAGATTTCTCTCCCTCTGAATTGCACTGGATCATTTAATGTAAATATCATAATACTTCAAAACTTATTTTTTAGTATTTTTCTCTTCCCAATCCAAGTCCAGTAACTCCATCAACATAAAGAAAATCTGTTTCCTGCAGCTTCTCTAACACAGATGTGTTCAAATACTATGATAATGAATAAGGTAAAAGACAAGCTATCTTCCCTAAAGATAGCTTTGCTTCTAAAATTCTAACTAGAAACAATCTTAGCTGACATTTATTTTTTTTCTGGTTTAGAAAGGGGATGATTCAATGATAATTGCTTGCTACTACTGTGTGATGCAAAATACGTGGAAATCTTATAGTAAGCTTTTTCAACATGAGTCATTGCACTCTCAAGGACAGATTTTCCTTGCAAATAATATTGTCTTAGAGCACTGATTTTGCTTCATTAGCACTTAATCTCACAAGTAATCCACAGACTGACAACTTCCACTGATGTCCAGAATACCGATATCCAAAAAAGCCATCCTTTCAACACAGTTTGTTAGTACTGTTGATTCATTGGCCTCATGAGAATGAAGTTTTCAAAGAAAACAGTATTAGGTCATCACAAAGTTAAGAAAAACGTGCATTAAAAGATTTTTTTTGTTGTTATAAAAATCTCCTGAACAGTGAGCAGCATCTCTCAGGTTTTGATCTATATTATCAGAGGAACATTCTACATACCACACTACTTGATCAGAATCCGAATAAATTGCCTTTCTTGTGATTTTACGTCAAAAGGCTTTCAACAGAGTTACTAAGGCTGTATGAGTTATTTCGAAGTAGCCTATATCAATAACCTCCGAGCCAATTTGTTGTGACACCGCTCATGTTATGCCCATGAGATGTATGCCGGGACTGGTGACTGTTTCCATAGAAACCACAATAGCTCCGTCAGTTAAGGGAGCAGAATAAGACAAAACTTTGGAAGTCTCATTTACACGGCAAGCACTGCACTTCTAGTACTACTGTCGACAGAGGTCAGAAAGACAGATTCCCTTTTAGCAAGCCTCTGTGAAGTATGTAGAGCAAGAGTCCTATGTCTAGTCCACTTTAGGTAATTTGTAAAGCTCACAGGTAATCAGAAATCCACTGATGTGTATTCACAATGATATTCCCTAAAGCTCCTTGAATGTTATGGGAAAGACAAGAAAAATCTGACACAAGCACAGAATCCTTTTAAAAACTTAAACTCCATTCCAGTCTCCTGCCAGACTTCCCACCTCTCTCACTCCCGCACCCTACCATGTGAACATTAAACACCCTGTGAAAGCATGTGCCACTCAAATTTACATCCACCTTATCTAGCAACAAGCAGAAAATCACTTACTTGAGAGAGAATCTGTCCAACACAATGAGTTGCCCATGCGAGCTAAGCTAACCTAAATACCAGGAAAATCTACAGCAGGCCCTGCAGAGCTATCCAGCAGTGTGCTTAAACAGAGCCCCTGCTATTGTGGCCATTTGGCACACAGTAGTCAAATCCACTAGCGCACACTAAGAGTCCTCAAAGCACTGTGGCACACTGACACCCTTTGGGTCAATGGCCAGAATTTCACCTGAAGAATGTCTACTGCTGCTGAGGAAGTGAGTTGTGTTTCTTGATCCAACTTCTTCCCAATGCAGCAGAAAGACTATCGTAGGCTGTAATCTTCTGCTCCCATATTCTCCCATATTGACATATAAATACCATAATGAACAAGAGCCTTCATAGGCTGTCTTTTTGTAATTTTTTTTACATCAAAAAACTACATTCTAAAAGCCTTAATAATATTGCACTTTTATCCATAGTGCACATATAACACATATATATATATGATTGTCTAGGAGGATTTTCTTAGCAGTAGGAAAGTTGTATTTCTTGTATTTGACCAGATTAGTACCTGTGCAGTCAAAATACTGATCAGCCACTCCATCTGTGCATCCTGTCCATCAAAACAGATATGCCTAGAATACAATATATAATTAGTAAGAAAAAAATGGAAAAAAAATCTAGTTGCAGTTAGACACATTACAGACTAAGTTTCTAAATGAGTTCAAACACTGCTTACATTCATCTGTGAATGTTGTCAGTATTTATTATTAACACTAGCTTACATAAAAAGACCATGAAATACACAATTACCATTTCACTCTGCTTCAAAAAGGTAGGCAAATGCTTAACTGTGTGCAGGTTTCATAAACTTCAGAACCACAGATTTTAAGATTATTTGCTATTTTTAGCCACAGTAAGAAGACAGACACCAAATATCAAAAGATTACTAAAACATATAATATATAATTAAGAAAACCAGTAAAAGCAAACATACAGACAAAATAAAAAATATTGATTTTCAACCTTATCTTTTTAATGTTGAAATTGAAAGTTTAAATACACACTGAACACTGAAATTATGCATGTTTCATGTTTACCTACCACTGGTGCTTTTCAGAAAATATTGCAAGACCCCAACTGAAAAAAAAAAAAAATTAATAGTTCCAGAAACTCAAGAAAAAGACAATATTTTCTAAAACTACAGAGGCTTCCACACAACGCTTTTATATATAAAAATATACATTATATATTTATATATATTATATATATAAAGTTAAAGGTGTAAACCTAGGAGGTTACTGAAAAAAACAAAACAAAACAAAACTGTGGGTTTGTTCTCAGATGACTCAGTTTATGAATGTTCTGTTCTGGACAAGGGGTAAAGCTGAGCACCATAGATGAAGCCTGATCACGTGTGTTGTTTCAGCTGCAGCTTTACTTTATGAAAGATGTTGGAAGTAAAATAAAAAAAAAAAAAAATTAATAGTTCCAGAAACTCAAGAAAAAGACAATATTTCCTAAAACTACAGAGGCTTCCACACAACGCTTTTATATATAAAAATATACATTATATATTTATATATATTATATATATAAAGTTAAAGGTGTAAACCTAGGAGGTTACTGAAAAAAACAAAACAAAACAAAACTGTGGGTTTGTTCTCAGATGACTCAGTTTATGAATGTTCTGTTCTGGACAAGGGGTAAAGCTGAGCACCATAGATGAAGCCTGATCACATGTGTTGTTTCAGCTGCAGCTTTACTTTATGAAAGATGTTGGAAGTAAAATTGCTAAGTTGGTGTCCAGAAAAAAAAACATTCCCATAAAGATGATTTATGGTGGGGAAGGCAGAGAAGGAACATTAAGTGTGCTTGTACTGGAAAGAGAAGGAATCACATAAGTCTACAGAGATTAAATAAAAAAATAAAATTAAAAACTGAAAACGGGGAATAGGTTCACAAAGAAGCCTCTGAGGTGACAAATAGCTCCTAAGGATCCAGAGAAGATTGTGTCAAGTCTGATGTTGAAAATAGTTAGACTGAAAACAAACCTCAAGGAATGAAACTATCCGCAAGAATCCAGACTTGCTTATATACTCTTACATTTGTACTTCAAACTACTCGCTCATTTCTGAATTTAATATATTTTTTCAAAACCAAAACAGCCCCCTGTTTTGCCTAACAGAACTAAGCTCTAAAATTTACAGATTTTTTGAGGGTTTTGATGTGCCAACTCTCAGGAAAAAGTTTGAGCATGTCTGCTTAAAGGCTACTATCAACTTAAAATCCCCTTTGGAAAGGATCCTACCTACATTATCTCGAAGTCTCAAAGCTTTGATTAGGTAAGTTCACACATCTGAGAAACACAGGTGTAATTTCTCACTCTCTTTTCTAGAGACACAGCCGCTGATGTTCATAAGAGGCACTGTATTCTTTGTTTAGAAGGAAAAAAGTCAAAATAAAAAGGATCCTGAAAAAGGAAAACCTTCTACTGAACAACGGGGACTGTCACTGAAGACAGACTGGTTGGCTTTTTCTTCTTTTTTCCCTGGTGCCAGGAAGGTGTGCCCATCAATGAAATGCAAGACACACCACAGAACTAAGTGAACTATCAACACACACATCCACAAGAGATAATACGCTTAAGATTAACAAAAGTCAATCAATAAAGTAATTCCCTAGCATAGAGGAGTTAACGTGGAACACAAAACTAAAGATAGCAACAGAACAAATAATGTTATGGAGGGTAAATTAATTTGGTACACTTCGGTTGGCTACTTGGCTTTTCCTTGTTCGCCAATATTTTATGCTGCTCTTTCATGAAGACATAACTTTTCTTTTTTATTCTTACTTTGTTGGTGGCTTCATTTTCTTTTTCACTCCAAGATAAAGCTTCAAGGAATTGACAGGCAACACTTTCTCAGGTTTGCTGGCCTTAAAATAAAACAAGACTTTAGTTATTTTATCAGGACTATATAACAGAGGAAATGCTCTGTAGCTGTCTCCACAGTTAACTATTTCATGAGCTGTACTCCACTTTTCTTGTCAATCATTACATTTTTTACATCTTTCCTTCCCACTAACAAAAGCTGCAAGTCACTACCACTGGGAAAAGGGAAGAACATGAAGTCCCTATAATGTCAAAAATTACAATATAGTCAGAATTACAGAGATCAGGTGGTAAAGCTCACGTGACTGAAGTTCTGTAATTGATGGATACAAGCTCTTCAGGAGAGGCAGTCAGGGAAGATAGGGAGGTACCCTCTATATGAAGGACGGCAAGGGGTGAGCCAACCATATATGGGGTGAACTTCGATGAGATGGGCAACATTTGTTTCAGGCCATCCAAGCAAGATAAAGAAGAAAATGAAGTCTTCCCTGAACACCTCAAGAACATGTGCAAATCACAGACTCTGCTTCTTTGCAAGAGGCTTTGCTTGCCCTGACATCTTCTGGAAAGGCATCACGGTGAGACAATAGTGATTCTGTAGATTTATGGAGGGTGTCAAGGCAACTTCTTGACACAGGGGGCAGATGAGCTAGACAGGGCCATGCACAACTGGCTCTGATATTCACAAGTGTCTGGGGATGTGATAATGATAGCTATGGGCACTCTGACCATTAAAATACAAGTAGCAGAGGGTAGACTGAAGACTGTGCTCAGTGAGGGAACTGCTACATGTGATCTCATGGGAGAAGGCGGGTCTGAAGGGCAAGCCAGCTCAATAAAGCTAGGAGATCTTTGATGATAACTAAGAATTGTTCTTCACGATACTCAGAGAAACAAGTAGACATATCAGGAGATGTAGCTAAAGACAGAATTCACGACAGAACTCCGATGTAAAAAATCTCCCAGCCAACCAACCAACCACAAAAAAAAAAAAAAAAAAAAAAAAAAAAAAAAAAAAAAGAGAGAGACAGAGGTATTTTATGGCTTTATGGCTGTTCTTCTAGTCAAAGCAAGAGTACTACCTCACTGAACAGACTTCTCTGCAGAATATACTAATTATAATTCTCAGAAATTTCTACCTAAAGGAGCTTTGTCATCTGTTTGTGTGTGTGGGAACATAACTTTTATTGACTGTGCATCACAAAGGCAGTTTTTTCAGCCAATTAACACAATACTGTAATTTAATATATTAAATTATAAATAAACGCAATATATAAAAATATATTTAATACACAATATCATGGAAATTTCTTGTCTTTGGTAATTCTTCTCGAGAAAAACAGCTAAATATATCTCCTTTTGCATATTTAAAATATTTACTGTTATGAGAATTCTTAAATTGAAAACTCTGTGCAGTCTTATTAAATACAATTTGCCATCGGTAATGTCACAGCCTTTTAATATTCATTTCTATATATAACAAAATTAAACAAAATTTATTGGGTGTGGATAAACATCTCTGAAAAGAAAATAAAAAAACTGAAACATGGTGTTTTGTCAGAATGACAGTTTCATTTGCTTATTTTAAAAAATTTGAAAACCATTTAAAATAATGCAGTATTTACACTAAGTAGAAAATGCCACCTGAATTTAGAAACCATTTAATGCTTTATGAATCAGAATGGCTGAAAAAAACAATTTTAACACAGTACAAAATCCGTAAGCTTTGTCAAACAAAGAAACAAACCCTCCCAAGTATTTTAGTAAGGCCGAGGCTTTGCTTGCCCTGACATCTTCTGCACAAGCAAGCACATATATACATATGTATTGGCTGGACGTGCAAAACTAGCATCCAGCAAAAATAAAAGCATTTGAAACTTTCAGAGGTATATTTTTTAGCAGAAATTAACAGAACTAAAATGAACAACTGAATGGCATAGTCCACAATATATCTTGTTTGGTTTTACACTTTAACATAAATTGATTACATCTGAAAACATTTTTCACAGTAAATTCAATTCAACAAGTATCCATATGTCTGACTTTGCTTCTCTGGGACTATGATGTATATCTAAGCATCAGTACTCATGTCTGCAAGGCTGGGATTATATCAAGTCTATTTTTTCTGAAATTTTACTTCAGGAGGAGGTTGTATTTCTTCCTCATTACTGAGAAGTTAGTGAAAACTTTGTAGCTAGGAGGCAAGGGAAGATTTTGCTAGCATGTTTACAGATATTGTTTCCATAGCCTCTTCCACCATGATGTTTTTAAGACGCCTGTTGCTTATAATTTCTGAAGGCTCTGAGATCTGAAGACAAACCAATATGCAGTGCGCTTAAGTTCCGTATTGCTTGTACTACAGCTCAGTACAAAGGGTTTTCATAAAACTTAGTCATAGCATAGTCCAGTCATTTCTGAACTTCGGTTTAATTTTTTTTTTTAAACAGCTCATACTAATGCAAAATTAAACTAGCTAAATAAGCAACATCCATAATTCATTTTACTAAGATCTCTGTGAACTAGTAACATAAAAAAAAAATTGCACTTTAACCCCAAAGTTTGAAGATTACCATTTAATAGTATTCGCCTTCCTTCTCATTTCTACATGTAAAAGAGCTTTTTAATGCTCATGATTAAATTGGTGAAAATTTTCTGCTACTGTACCTTCATATCCTTGTAAAGGAGCAAGTTTCCTTCCCGTAGCACAAAATACCGCTCTTGAAATTTGTTTCCAGACAGTAGCTTTGATGGTTCTTCTTTGTACTTTAGATAGCCTTCTTTCATACTAACTTTCATGTTTTTCTCTAACAAGATAATAAAAACATTTGTTGGAAAATTTTGGAACAATGGAAATTGATAGTATGCAAGTGTCCCTAGTATTTATCACTGTATAGCAAAAGACTGAAATTACAACTTGATAGTTTCAAATTTTCTTAATAAGGAATTAAACATTGACAGCACGATGATGTTAATTACTGAAAAAGATAATCCTCTCTGTTTCATTTCTACAACAGATAACACTGAAAGAATGATGGACCACAGCTGCAAAAATTTTGAGGGAAGGAATGCGCAGGTAAGTCCCAAAGCATATGTATAACTCTTGCCTCTCTGAAGCACAAGTATATTGAAATTACCAGAAAGCCCCAATTTTGTTGTACAAGACTTGGTACATTTTTCTGTTTGAAAAAGTCAAAATACATACAGAAACACACATATATTTGTCAAAATAATAACAATAAAAAAAACATTTTTAAAGTAGTATTCTTTGAGCAGGATTAGAAAGAATTAAAATTGATTTGGTAATTAAAAGTTTAATGAAATAAATTAGCACCACTGAATTTTTCAAAGATAGACCATATTTTCAGCATAATGTTGAGAGCAATTTAAAAATCTAAGCAAAATAATACTAAAAAAAAGCACTGAAAACATTCTTTAAAGAGAAAGATCAGGTCTTTTCTGAATTGTAGATGGTTGATAGATGAAAACTACTGCAGCACCATTTCCTAGATGTTTTTCTTTTTATCACAATCTTTCTTTCTTTTTTTTTTTTTTTTAATAGTTTATCTGCTTTGCCCAGCAAGTCCACTTCCAAACAGCAGCACTTTTGACCATAATTGTGGTAATTACTATGCTGAAATGACTCATGCATATAAATTCAAATCAAAATAACATTTTAACAAAGTAAGGCACAATGAAAAAGAAAAATAATTCCTATTTGCATCTTGTAGGAGTCTTAATCAAAGAACACAGAATTTAGCAGCAACCTTAAGTAGCCTTTTCGCCTTGAGGTAGCTAGGGCTTAAAGTAGACTGCCAGTGTGAAAAGAGAGCAGTAGACAGAAGGAAATAAAATGTTCTCTAGTCCAGGCAACATTACCAGTAGAGGCTGCAAGCTGGAGCTTGTGTGGAGAAGGACCTGTGGGACCTGGTGGACAAGCTGACCACAAACCAGCAATGTGTCTTGTGACAAAGATGACGAACAGTACCCCAGGCTGCATTAGGAAGAGCATTGCCAGTAGGTCGAGGGTGGTGATCCTCTTGCTCTGCTGAGGCCTGGCGAGGCCACATTTAGAGCATTGGGTCCAGTTCTGGACTTCCCAGTACAACAGAGACATGGAGCTACTGGAGAGAATCCAGGAAGGGGCCACTAAGACGATGAAGGACTTGGAGCACTTCTCATATGAGGAAAGTCTACAAGAGCTAGGCCTGTTCAGCCTGGAAAAGAAGAGACTGACGGGGGGCACTTTATCAATGCATACAAATATTTGATGAGAGGGGGCAGAGGGGATGGGGCAGACACTTTTCAGTGGTACCCAGTGATGAGGACAGGAAGCAAAAGGCACAAGCAAAAACAGTTCGGCCTGAATGGTGGTGGCTGGAAAAAAAAGATGCCCAGAGGAGTTGTAGAGTTTCCATGCTTGGAGATATTCAAAACTCGACTGGATGGGGTCCTGGGCATCCAGCTCTAGCTGACTCTGCTTGAGTGGGGCGGGTTGGACTAGGTGATCTTGAAGGTCCCTTCCAACCTCAACCATTCGGTGATCTTTTCTTCTCGAAGAAGCAGCTGTTCTAACAAGGCTAATATCTTTATCCCAAAATACTATGAGTCTGCTACTTATGCCATGTTTTGGCCTGGGCCATCTTTGTTTCTTTTGCTAAATGAATACATGTCCTGTAATTTATTTGTGCATGCTGTATCATTTCAAAATAAGAAATGAGACTGTGATGTAAAAGGAGAATGAGGTAAACCGAGAACAGTATCTTACTCATTTCTCAGAGGGCCCTCTTTTCACACCATTCCACTTGGCATTTGAGAATTTGATATAACACGCTATTATCAAAAAGCAATGAAAAAAAATAATAAAAAAAGTTTAATTAACAGAAAAAAAGATAAAGTATGTTGTATATTTGCATTCACCCAGGAAGGGTAGGAATACAGAAAAGAACCAACTTTGAATTTCAATGAAACATCCACATTTGGAACCAGTAGGTTCTGCAACATATCGTAATTAAAACTATATATGTTTTTTTTTAATCACAAATATTCATTTTAGCAAGTCAATATTTTCAAGTATGGCATATCATGCAGAAATTAGGTATTAAAGGTTACCGCCTTTGACATGACAGAATTAAGAATTTTTATGGAATATCACTAATGACCACAAAATAAATGATCCAGAATAAATGTATTGTACGGTAGTGTTTGTATCTGGATATATTTCAGCATTTATGTTCTTTGTCCTTCTTTTAGGGAACCTGTAAGCAGTTATGCCATACATGATTCTTTAGGAAGAGTCCCAATCTTCTAATAGTGAAACATGTACAAGATGCATAAAATGCATATATACGCATGCACAAAAGGTAGGCAAGTAGTATTTGGCTTTAAAGGTCTTATTATGCAAATACATTTTAAAGTGCAGACACAAAATGGATAAGGTTATATTTTAAAACACAGAGAAGCAGATTTTGCTGTCATTTGCATGGTGTAGTGAGACTTTGGGACTAACTTGAAAAGACATATCTCAATCCCAGCTTTCATAGTGGATGAACATTAAATTATTCCTCCTACTAACTGTAATTATTTGCAAAAAGAATATTAAATATTGTGAATATAATTCCCTCCTGCTTTATATCATAGTACAAATCAAAGTCATAAAAGGCACTTTAAAAATATAATGGAAATTACAAAGACAGTATGCTCTTTTGACTTCATCAAATAAAACCAACTCTATTCCAATCAGTACGCCTTCCATTAAAATAAAATTTCACAAGAAGATTTCCCAGTATTTTAGATAGTTCCCGTTATAATCTAAAAACAAAATACATTTCTAACAACTGAAATCAAAAGTTTGTATTGAATTGATTTGAATCCAGCTACGACTGCAATATATTTGTTCAGTTAAACAGAAAAAAAAATTCGTTCCTTTCTGCCAATATATTTCTTTCATGTTCAGAATAGAGTACAAAACCTTACCCACACTACCACATGAATATTACATGAATTTTATTTTTTTAAACATGTCAAATGGAAGTAGAAAAAAAGAATCATTCTAAACTCTGCAGCTTTCTTACCATGACAAATTTATCAAACACTTCATACAAAGATCTTGGGAAAGGTAAAAAAGCATCCTCTATATTTGATCATCTTCTGTATTTTCTAGCAGACTATTTAATAAGGTAAAGCTAAAATAATCTGAAAAATAATCTAAAATAAACTTTAAAACTATTTAAAAACTTTCTAAAACTCTGAAATCACTAGGAACTAGCTCAGAAAGTAGTTCCAATTTTTTCTCAGAAAAATCAGTATTTCCCACTCAAACAACTCTCTACTGGAAAAATTCAAGTATCTATATACACACTTTACAGTGAATATATTCTATTATATTTTTTAACGGATGAAAGGAGAAAAAAGAGGGTCTTGAAATAGAATCTACCAAGTATCTGTTATACCAAAACATAATGCACATCTTGCCCATCTGAACAGCACTTGAAAGACAGTACTCCTGCAAAAGCATGAAGAGCTATAAGTTGTGAAGAGAAAATAACCAAAGACTGGGAGGAAAGTGGAAAACTGACCAAACGTTTTTCTGAAGCTACATCACTAAAGTATTTTTTCCCCTTTGACAAGGAGAATTGATTTTTTGTAGCTGCGACTGTCTCTTTCTCTAGGCAGCGGGAACTGTTTCCCTGATTGTCTGATCAGCCATCTTTCCTCACTCTGACTCTACACCTAATGACAGATGTACAATGTTTAACTAAAAATAAATAAATAAAAATAATTCCTGTGCACTAACATCCATACTTAGGAACAAATGTAAAGTTTGAATAAACACAATATGAGCTCTTTGTGCATTTTGGCCTGCATTTAATATAGATGCATCTCTGCTTGAAGTTAATGAGCATTTATTTTAGTTCCTCGGTATTGCTCATGTTTCATAGCACTATAATAGATTCAAAATCTGTGCAAGACAAAATGACTAGAGTACAGTGTTTAAAATACCAAACATCCTTAGTATAATAATTAGAATTTACATTTGTGGTTTTGTTTTTTTACTATGATATTTTTAATCCTCTTCTCCCTCCCATTCCCCATTTTCTTAATATTTTACCTGTTTGGGACAAAAGATGCTCAGAATTACTGACCAAGACAGTACTTCAGCTAATAATGAGTTGACTAAATGATATTAGATCTATTTTCCTCATTTCCTATTTAGCTACTAATTTGAATGCATATCAATATAATGTATGGAGCGATCCTGATAGTGCTGATGGCTATTTTGATTGATTTGAACTAAAGAGAATAATTAACTAAAATTTCTAAATGTACCCTCTTAAACAGTATTTACAAGGTCTTGCTTGTTGTAAGATAGAATTAAAAGATATGAACCCTAAAACTTTAGAAAATATAATTTATTCCTCAGGTAAAAGCTCCTTAAAATGGCAACCCCACAAGTGAGCTCATGTTTTGCAATTAAAAAATTAATTTGCCATGTTAAGGTTGGCAGGATCATTACTGTATATTTGCAATGTGGCAGAACTTTCCTAAAACCCTTCAATACACGGAGAAAATCAGTATGACTTATTTAATTTTTACAACGTGTTTAATAAGCCTTTAGTTATTTTAACACCACAAAAGAGCCACTAAATGTAAACATCCAGTGGCCAAAATTCAACAGATGAAGGTCAAACCAAAGAGAACCCAGCAAGCCTCATTAGTGTGATGGGGAGGGCAGGTAGGAAAACCAATGGATGTGAAGCCCATGCATAAAAATATGGCATATGGCAAATCTCCTTCTTAAATACTACTACACTTTGTAAGCTGGACTTTAGACACTCGCCTAATTCTCTCTTGTTTCCCACAGCAGTGGTCCACATGTAGTCCTTTTAGTCCATTCACTTTTCTGATTATACCTCAATGTATAGTGAGGGAGATGAGGGAAGTTCAGATTTCAAGCTTCTAATGAATCGGAACATTTCCCTCTACAACATTTCCCTTGCTACAACACAGTTACAAGAGACAGTGAAGCTCAAACATAAAAACTATGAATAGCACAGCTGTTAAGGTTGGGTCATATCTGCAGAACTTGCTTTTACAGAAATAGAGAGTGATTAGAGAATACTATAACTTTCAGAAGAATAGGCATAACAGCATGACTTTTATGTCTTGCAATCAAGACAAATATACAGATCTAGAAAGTAAACCCTTCTGTATAAGAGGGAGAAATCTAGAGGAAAAGAAAAAGATTATATATTTGAATAAATATTAGATAAAATAATCAATTAGGCATTAAACTAGGCATCAAATGTTACTATTGCATGTTGTACCATGAAGGCAGCATATAGCATGTCAGCAGCTTGAAAACAGGGTAATCATTTTCTGACATCTCTAACTTACAATCTACTTCCCTTAGAGAGAAAATCATACACTATTACTTCGAAGATTTACTTCAAGGGATGGAGAGAGAGAGGAAAGGAAGGAGGGAGAGGGGGAAGAAAGAAGGAAAAAAAAAAATGTTCATCTCGTAAATCATACGTTTCCACTTTCAGTTGTCAGACCTAAATTTCTCCTCCTTCTTAAAGCTAATGTACTTGCTGCAAGTCACTCAAGTTGCTCAAGTATGTAATTCCAAATTCTTTCCTATTCAGATGCATTAGATCAATTAATCCAAACACACACACACACACACAGAGAGAGAGAAATAAATAATACTTTAAACTGAATAGTCAATTTTTCATTCTGAGTTAAATGATGTCTAACCCTTGCATAAAATAATGTAACTACTGGCAACGCCAGCTTTCATCTAGCAAGACAGGTTATGGACAGCTCAGAATTGCTTGTAATGAAACAGCAGTCTCATGCTTTACAGCAGAAGTTCCCAAACTGTGAGCCAAACACAGTGTTTCTGTATATTTTTATGTTCAAATGCACAGTTTGTAGGAACAAAAACATTCATAATTTCTATGCTTTAAGCAGAAGCCAGTAGAACCCTTAGTAAAGCAGTATCTTCTCAAAAGCTGTGGCAATTCAGATGTTTTGGGACACTTTGCCCCAGTGAAACAGCTATAAATAAAAATTGTTATCCATGAAATATCTAATTAAAGAAAAAGTGCATACCAGTATAGAGTTTTATCATGTCTGCTGTGAGGAATCTCTTTATTATTAGATAGGCGGTCCCAGGCTCCGATAGTGAACTCCAGTGAAGAACCTGTTCTAGCACGTTCTCTGTATAATGCAGAGGACGTTCTGAAAAATGCCCAGAAAAAAAAGAAAGAAAAAATGAAAAAAAGTTGAAATGAAACAAGATCAAAGACTCTTTAAGTTACACATTTCTACAGATAAATTTTGAGCAATAGAAGTTAAAGTTGCTTTCAGTGCAACACAAACAGGCACTTCACTGGCTTTCTACAGTAACACCTTTATAGTTAACGGTTTGCATAGATTTTCCTTCCAGATACCATAAATTGAACAAGAAATACTTATATGCTCAGTGTGTCTTTGGATTTAATTATTAGTATTTCCTTCATGAAAGATACTAAAACGCTGCTTTCACACTAATAATAAAAGCTAGGAAGTATCAGAGGACATATACAAGTACGATCAAACAGTATTACAAGTGAGACCTTCAGCTACACTAGGCCTCAAACTTCCTAGCCATGACCACTCCCAAATTAAAACCATACAAAGAATTTAGAAGAGCCTTAGTAGCTATGCATACTGACACAGATTACACTGCCTGGTCATGATCAAAACAGACTGAGCCAGTCTTTAGTTTCATTTGGTTCCTTTTACTAAAAGGGAAAAGGATGTGATTTTATTAGGTCTCCTCCATATTGCTGTGGCTGGGGAATTTCCAGATTTGCACACTCTTCCAAACTCAAAAAAAGAGTAGAGTAAAATTAGAATTAAAATTAAGTGAAGGCATGACTAGAACGTGCACACGTTTCAGATTTGGTTACCAAATCATACATTTGTCAATAGACAAATAAATAGGTACCATCCAATCTGATAACACAGAGACCTTGAAAACCTTTTCAAAAGTGTAAAGAACTGCAGAGATAATAAAGCCCAAAGCAGTACACCATTCACATACCAAAAGTAAGCTGAGAATACCTAGCAAATGGTCGCTACATCTGCATTATCAGATCTAGCAGGTATCTAAATATGACATACACTGTGACACCCATTCTAGGTAACACATAACATCTTAGGCAATACTAGGACAGTGGGGGAAACTGTACAACACCCCTGTCTCCTGTAACCTGTTCATCCACATACACACCTGAAGGCTTTAGTATGATATTTTTTCACTTTATGCTAGGGTAGGTGAATATGAAAGACCAATACAAGCATTGAGACTGCTGGCACTACACTCTAGAACAACTTTTTTTTTTTTTCCTGAATGCCACAGCTCCAGGAAGGAGTTACCACAATTGCTGCTTTTACCTCCCTTATTTATAGCACACTGTTGAGTGGCAGAAAAAAATACCTCTGTTTTCAGAGACAGAAAAGCTACCTTACCTATAGACGTGTTAAATCACTTATATAACACTTTTATTATTCAGACATGATAACAAAGCAGCCTAACAGAAATTCCTCAAAGAGCAGCTCAATTGCTGTTTTATAACTCCATTTTCCTGGCCCTTTTGATTTAAATGGTTCAGCTTTTAAAAGTTCACAGTCTTTAAACTTTTCCACTTTTGGAAATGTGATAAAGTTAAAGTAATCTGTTGCCTTTGTACAGGAGAAAAACCCACTTTAAGGAGAAAAAAAAAAAAAAACATACAAAAGAAAGGCAGGAAAGCTGGCAGATCATCACATCTTCCAAGAACACCAACACTCCCAGAGTAAACATCTACTGTTTTATTTATAGTTAAATTTAAGACCATCTGTCATCATGGATTACACGGTACATAAATCATCACGCTGAAATGAATTAGTTACTTTACTGGTAACACACCTCATTTACAAACTATCCATCAAGCACAAATTACTAAGAAAAAAGTATACACCCTATTTTATAAAAGCATATGGTACTGAAAGTTTTGCATCAGGTTAGATAATTTTATCAATTATTTCAACTTTTCTACGTGCAAATAATTTAGTTGATTTTTTCATATTGTAATTTCAGTATTTTTAACATCAAGCTTTTTTTTTTTTTTAATAAATATCAGATACTAATTTTCTCGACTCTTCAGGGTTAGTTTTCCGAGCAGAATTTTGACAAGAATAACTACTCTTCTTTTTGTCTGTTATTTCCTCAATGCTTCAACCCCATGAAAATCTGTTTAATTTAGCCTTGGCATCAGTGGAGTCTTCCTGAATAAGTGCCTTATTGTCTGAATTATTTTCATTTTTTGACTTCTATTAATTCAGTTCACCTGTTGTAATGCACAGATTTTTCCACAATAGGTTCAAAAACTGGTCTGTTCCATCAACATCTGCTCATTGGACTCAGGCACTGAGTGGGACTTAGGTCTTTATTTAGTGGAGGTTTTTTTTTCTCCTCTCTCAAAATTGAAAGGCCACTTTCTCTTTTGCAATATAAATCTCTTGTTTCAATGGGATACTCTCAAGTACTCTCAAGGCCCTTGACAATATTTTCTATACTATATAGGGTCTGTAGAGTCTCAATCTAAGCTTAATTTTTCCCATCCTCCATAGTCACCAATTCAGACAAACTTTCAAGCCCACAGTAAGGTTCTAGTTATTGTGCACAAAGACCTCAAGAAGCTGATTTTTTCATCTATCTTTCTGTTCCTAGGTGATATATAGTTTAATTTTCAGTTTATTGTTACATACCAATTTTAAAAAATCCCCCTTCAAATTTTTCCATTACGCAAATGAAAAAAAACCAAGATTTCTAGAGCATTCATAACAGTTACAAGAACTCTTCTGAAGATAATAGATGCCAATGTTCTTTGTCAGTTGAAATCCACCTGTAGAAATCTGGAAACGAATTCTACCCCAGCACTCTACATTGCATCACCACAGGATTGTATCCTTCAAAAAGGATGTCAAGATCATTCTGTTTATGTCGGAAGAGAGAATGCTCTTAAACTTGGCAGGATTAACAGCAACCTGAGCTAAGTATATCAGGACTGCCAATAAGTCTTACGAGATTATTATAACTACATCTGAAGTGACATAGAATAGAACTACTCAGACAATCTTGGAATGTCTGGCTGATTTAATTTTCTCCATTTTTTAACACTCCTTTTTAAACAGGAAAATAAGGGATCTCCATTAGAGAAGTCAATCCAAAGTCTACTTTTGTAACATGCAAATAATAATAAAAGCAACTTACTTAAAAGTCCTAATAGCACTTTGTATTCACTGTCCCAAAATATTCTTCAAAAGAATTAGATGACAGTGAGTATTCATCAAAATACAGTTTTAATAGTAAAAGGATTCCTTTATTATTTTGATTACCTCTAATTGTAAGGTGTGAGCTTCAACATTAGCATAGCCTTCCCAATGCAAAAACCTATTCACAGCTCATGAATATTGTGACCTTAACCACTGTTAGTGTCAGAACTATATTTAAAATAAATGTTTCAAGATCCTGCTATATGCAACTCAGTATCACCTGTAATACACACAAGGTTTCAGAAATTTGTATCTTTTTTTTTCCTTTCTTGCTTACACACTTCAGATAAACTAAGTAACTAAAAAGAATCCCTCCCTAAAGTATTGCATGTGTTTTCTTGTTTCATTTTCTGAAATACATTATTCCTTAGAAATGGACTGCTGACTTAATGAAAGTAAGTTTAGGTTTTTTTTTCTCTTGGTAAGATCTACTTATTGGTAAGATCTGCAGCTGATGGCTAAAAAAAACTGTGAAGTTTAGAGTATTATAAAAACTAAAAAAAAAATGTTTTTCAACGACAAATGCATGACCATTTAAAACCAATTCTTCAAATTATTTGTGACAAACAAAACTTTGAAAGGAAGTAGATGTATGTCATAGTATCCAACATGAAACAATGGAATGAAGGCTAATCATAGTTTTATTTACAAAGTTTTGGTAACTTTTCAAATAGCATTTTGATTAGGCTAAGTGTTTATAAATGAAAGACAATTATAATTTGATAGTCATATAAACATAAGTTCCACTAACCTAGTTCTCCATTTTCAAGTACTTCAAATGCAACCCAGATATCATCTTTGTTAGGAGTGATATTTTTGATTCCTAAAACATCATTAGTTAATTCTTCTGCTTCCATCAAAGGAGATACCTATAATAAAAATTGAGTCTGTTTAAAATGTATTGCAATTTCTGATCTCAGTACAAAAAAAAAAAAAAAAAAAATCCTAATATTGCAATTGACAAGAAGAATTATAAAAAAAATAAAAAGCAAATATACTGTTTGTAAGTCCAACATCTCTCAGTTTGATACGCTTTCTTGTTTTGTTCCATGAAATTGAACTTATCCAGTTATCACCTAAAAATCAAAATTTAAAATTCTTTGATCTGTAAAAAATTACAGAAAAAAAAGGTTTACATGAGTTTTCAGGGTATATAAACCCAACACACGTCTACTGGCCTTTTTTTTAAAAAAAAAAAAAAACACACATCATGATGCATACTCCCATTTTTATTCATATTAAGAAATGCATGCTATCTTCTGTGTATATATGTATGTACTTTACACGCAAATACACAAATATACACCGTGCTATCCACAAAAACATATGTAATCATATGCCGAATAAAGCAAACAGCTATAATAGGAGCAGGGGGAAAAAAATATTGTACTGTACCAAGTTTGCAACTTCCTTTTTAATTATATCTGTCCTTTGTCATTATAGAAATTTATTTTTTTTCTTAACATCTAAACAACACAGCACTACTACATGGAGACCAGAGCCTTTCAAATATGTTATCAGATGCAAGGCTGGATATCTCAATTATAGTGAGCAGTAAGCTTAGGTTTCAAGCAAGGCAGATTGCCGCTAGCAAAAAGAGAGAAGAGGAAGGTCATTTAAATGCCCTTCAGTAAATGTACTGAATAAAGCCGGTATTCACTGCATGCTTGTTAATGTTCTTCTGTTTTGCAGCCTTAGAACTGTAAGAATTTATACTACCGTGTACTGCAGTAGAACTAAAGAAGGATGTCTCCCCTTTAAAATTACATCATAGCCTCCTGGTTAGAAATGTGTAATAAACACTCTTCACAATTTAGGCAATCCAGTAAATAAAAAAAAATCCATAAAGTATAGTAAAACATAAATTCATAATTTTATTATGCAATTATAAAAAAAAATGCATGAAAATACGTCTGGTACATTTCATGAGGAGGTGTTTAGTAAAAACATTCCATCACTTTTATGCACTAACCCGGATTATAATACTGCAGTCTGGCTCTTTTCTTTCCACGTAAACTTCAACAAGCAAATCTCCAGCCTGGGAAACCTAGAACAAAATAGATAATTTACAAAAGTTAGGATGTCTCATGAATATTTTAAATACATTTTCTAATAGGAAAATGAAATGATTACTTAAGAGATGTTTTAGAATCTACTACACATAAAATTTCCTCATGTGCTAATCAACAAAAGTACTCCTAACATTTACTGTAAGGGGAAAATCTGAACTGCACTCACTTCCATTTGACTTGTGAAAAGAGAGATCCTATCCTAACTGATTCAGGTAAAAATCTGAAACCTGACTATACATGACAGAAACATTTCAAGTAAAATTAACACATTTTGCAAATATACATTCAACAGTAGGAGATCTAAGGGAGACATGACAAAAGTGTATATTAATCCACACAGGACAAAGTCATGCGCATATGAAGAGATAAAAGTACCTTTGCATTTTAAACTACCAAAACCTTAACTCTGGGCTATACATTAGAGTTTTGCAAGAGAAATTAACTTGAATTTTCTATATATATAAATGTCCAGTGTTAATGTGAAAACCTCATAGTCTCCTTAGGAGGTTGCCATAAGCATCTTCAAAAGATAATAATTCATGCCAGTAATAAAAATATTTCCTAAAACTAAATTCATGATGATGATATTAAGAGTATGGGAAGACAGGAACCAGACTTTTCAGATGCAGTATCCTTTTATTGGTAAGTCAATGTAAATAATTGCTATGAAAATTAAAGTTAAGCATAATAATCAGTCTTAATTTTGAGAACAGCATTCACATTGATTCTATACTATGTATTTATTTATATTTTGCTAAAACTCAGATAACGAGAAAAGCAAAAAGCAATTGCATGATATACAGAATAAGATGCAGAGAAAATAATAAAAACAAGCAAGCTTTGAAATACATTTTGACTAATTTACAGAGGCTAAAACTACATTTCAATGGAAAAATAAATAGCAGCACTCAATTTTAAAGAACATTAACATTATGGAAAATGGTGACTTTAAAGTTTGTTTAGCCTCTGAGAATAGAAAGTAATGGAAACATTTGTGAGGAAAAAAAACATTACAAACCTACTTTGAAGAAAGCTTCTTAATTATAGTGGCATGGACTCAAAAAAGCTCATTTAGTTGTAAAATTTGCTTTTTAGATGGTGTTACAGAAAAAAAAAAGGTTGGAAAAAAATGAAGCTGACATTTGATTTCCACTGGGCTCATTTAAACAGCCGTATGGAGAGAAAATGTGCTGTAAATTACAGCAGCAAAGAGAAACAGCTGGCATAAGTATATGGTGGACAGAAAATGAAGAGAAGCTAATGAAAGGCCACCTGGAACGGAACTTCAGTGACATTTCAGACATGAGAACTTGCAGGGTTTCAGTAGAAATCTGGTCCAGTTGTTTGCTGAATAGTCTCCACACGATCAGCCTGGAGACAACCTATATATTCTAAAAGCATCAAGTAACTGCATCACTGGTTCTCCCACCAACATGCTTATGTTTTGATATAACAACATCAGACTACCAGATGTTAAATGGAGAGGCTTCTTAGACAAAATTCTTAATTAGCTGCCTGAGGCCTAAGTTGCCAATCATCCACACTGCAAGCACATTTGCTCTGCACTATGTCATCAGTTTTAAGAGTAGCAGAAATCCCATCCAAGAAAATTTCCAAAGAGCTAGCCCTCCTGCGTAAAACTGACGTCCAATCTCTAGGCTACATGGGCTGCAGTAAAAGCATCTTGCAAACTGCTCACAAGCTCAATGATGATAGCTAATGAAGGGGAGGAAGTAAGTAGCTGAGAAGAATATGAATGTACTCATTTTTTTTCCACGGAAATAATGAAAGATATTATCATAAAGAAACACTGTTCCAATGAACCATTTACTCTATTTCATTTTTTTTTAACCATATTTCAGGCTCTGTACTGGTAAATAAGATCATGATAATTAGCTGGGGTCTGGCTATTCCTCATTCCTGTTGATGAGAATGTGACAAGCATTAAATACTTAGTTGACTTAACAACAGTGGGTTAAAAGAAGCTTATGTGTCCCAGCCTGGGAAAATATGAAATACAGACAGGCATATAATCTAGAGTTATGAAATTATGGGTAAAACGTACTCTGTACTCATGGCAAAAGTTAGAAATGCATAAAAATAACAAGAAAGAAGTTCAAACTTTTAGGAAAAAAAAAATGATTGGGTTAGTCCCAATCTGGCCCTTGGTGTATTCCACAAGACTGAACAACAAAACGCATTGTCAGGACAATGCTGAATTCTGCAGAAAAGATTTTATATAAACTCAGACCATCTTTGTAACCACCTAGAGTCTCCTGAACCAGTGTGCTTCATGCAGTTGGTGCTTTGAAGTGACAGCAACTGCACAATCTTTGATCCGAACTAAAGATTTTTGTGTTGAACTGGTCCTAGGCATAAGACCTACATTTACCTGTTACAAACACATTTCAAGACATTTCAGAAAAACGTAATTTCAACCTCCCCAGTTATATTAAACATATCTGCTATAGAGAAAAGCTATCTGCTATAGCTTCTACAGCAATATGTATAAAATGTTCCACAGCTTAATTCAAAAGGGAAAAACGTTCATAGTCCAAATTGCCACAGACAGATATCAGGCTCTAGAGAATAATATCAGTGGGATGGAGTCCAAATAAGGAAAACAGGCTGGCATAGCAAAGAGAAGGCAATTTCTATTCCAAAAAAAATACAGTTCAAATTTTAATTTATCAACCACGAAAAGGTATACATTATGTTCCACTACTTATTCCAAAAGTTAAAATGAAAAAAAAATCTGTCATCTCTGAGGCAAGAGCTTCCAAATAACGAAGGTCACCTGAGCTGAAGCTCATTAGCTTGTGACTTCTGGTTGCTTTTTTTTTCTGGTTGCAAAATAACACGGACTAAAAATACAAATGTTTTGATAAAAATTCAAAATCCTTTTCTAACTCAAACTCAGTATTTCATGATGCCTTCCGATATGATGCTGATAGAGATTAATTAATAAAATCCAGCACCTCAATAAATTCTTCTAAATATAATTGGCTATGTTAAAAGGCTTTTCATGGGGCACCCTGACAGTGATTGAATATAACTTATATTTTAAAGTCTCCGAGACAGCACTTAATAAGGACAACAATTTACTGATAAACTCAGGAAATAATATGATTCAGTGATTATTTAATGGCAGCAACATGTCATATCTAACAGCCTCCTTGGGCAGACTGCATAGTCCAGCTGAAACTGTAGTACATCAGATTTAAATATTTAGCATTTGTTATTTCCATTGGAGACTTTTTCTTCATGGAATGACAAAGTAAAGAAAAAAAATCTTACATATCTAAATACAGTTTTGATTATATTCCTTTCTAGCCATTTCATTCTCTTCAAACCAAAATAGGAAGTGCCATGTTCTTCAAATTTCTATTATTCTATTTGTTCAAGTATTGTCTCTGAAACTACAGCTTGTCAATTCTAGCAACATGTTTTTAAGAATATACAGGAAGGGAACTAATTTGACAGTTGCATGTAACAAAATAAGAATCTCTTTTATTGCTGCCTCCTAAATTTCATACCAGAAGACATTACGAAGGGTGCTTTTCTAGCTACAAGGTAAGAGACTTTGTTTGAATAGGATTTTTGTTTCATTCTGTGATACTTTTTTCCCCCCAAGGATTTAAACCTAGCAATGTGTATGATTAGAATCAAGTCAGAGCTTATTAATGGAGCAAGTGTAACCAACCATTCAGAAACCTAATTATTAATGGAAAAGATTCTACCAAGAGCTGAATCAGGATAACTAAAATCATGGTGTGATCTTTTTATAACTCCACTCCTAACAGTTGTAGAGTCCCAGGGAAACAAGGCCAAATGAGCTTAATTACTCTTGAAGGCTCGAATTTGAGTATATAGTTTAATAATAGTAATAATAAAACAAACAAAAAAACAAAGAAAACTCACAATCTATGTCAGAAATCCCAGATACTTGTTTTAAAAATGAAAAGAAGGTCTCTCATCTTTCTTCAATAGACAGCCTTCCAAATATGACAGACTACCCAAAGGGGATTGCACAGTGCTATCTGTGCTGGAAAATAAAACCACTTCTTTAAATTCTTCACAGCCTCAGTTTTCCAAGAACCCACCCAAGCTGCAGTTGCTGCTATATTTATTCAATCTATCATTATATCCTGTCAGTCTATACCCAAACAAGAAGGATTATGAGAAAGAAGACTCAAGACAGCAATGCCCTGAATATGCAATTTCCATGTGTATTTGCAAAACCCTTCCTTACAGTGACAGTTTACCAAAACAGTTCCTGCACAGGAGGAAGGGAGCCATCAGAGAGCATCACAGCTTTGTTTTTGCTACTTTTCTTGTCCAGTTTTTAAAGCTTTAGGCTCCAAAATTGCTGAAAGCTTCTTCACTACTTCAGACCTCTGAAAGAACTTGTAAGCTCCCTATGCTTCCCCTTACTTCTCTTACTTCATATACATTGTTCTTGTTATTGAGCTTACTAGTTTCTGCTTTAATTAAGGCTGTTCACACAAACTACTCAGACAGTGAAACATGCCATCACCTTACTGAGTTTTACCACAGGTGCACAAAGCTCTTAACAGAAGTATTAACATACACTTCAAGGTTTTAACATACATGTTTAAAATCAAAAAGAGAGGTTATCATTTTCACACTTAGTGTTGATCATTTCTACCACAATTTATGAAGCATAGTAAAAATGTGAGCATGATGTATCAATCTCTAAGTTATCCCAGGGCACAGGCCATAACATAATTCCACAGTATAATTTACACAGAGCTGTTTGGCTTTATTAGTTTATACTTAATCTTTCCTTTTTTTCCTTCCAGCTCTGTAATTAATGCAAGTCATTACACGAATTCAGAAATACACATTTAGAAATCCAGATATAGGATCCTACAAACAACAAAATGCTATTTGTTAGAATCTGTTTTATACCCATGGATTTTTGCCACTTACCTGAGTGTCTTTCCACCTGGTAATGAAGCTGTTCTCTATATCCATTTGTTTGACCTGGTCTTCATTAATCTGTTCAAAATTGATCGTTTTTGTAAGTTATAGGAAAACCAATATAAAAACTATAAACATAAAATAAGGTAACACACATGCTACTATAATACACTAACATAAATACTAATATAAAAAAAATAGAGGAATTCCTACAACATTTGGTAGGAGCAGTCATGCAAAATACTCCGTCAGTCAGGAAGATCATTTCATTGACAGAATGTTACACCCTTTACCAAATGTATACTAAGAGAGGGGAATCCACCATAACTCCCAAACAAGATATTATAGTAGAACAGTAAACTCCAAATTGAAAGTTCTACAATAAATTCACACTAACAGTAGTTTCTCAGATTAGTTGGATTCAACGTACTTTCTAAGACCTGGAAATCAAATGTTTTTTCCTCTATTTGTTTCCAGAGATCAGACACTAAGATAGTAGTCACTGACTTTAAGTTTCCTTTAATGCTAGTATGCTAGTACCAGCAAGAAGACATATGGGCAACATTTTGGAAAATGGTGATTTTCAACAATCCTACAAATATAGCTTTGCCTACTCAGGCTAAACTGTCTGGGAATTAACATTTAAAGACGACAAAGAACAAAGTCCATTAAATAAGCAAATTCAACAGCTTGGCAAATCAGTTTAACCAATACCAAATAAAACCTGTTTAGAAGGTTTCATCAATTTTAATTTTAAGAAGATTTCAATATTTTATCACCTCTATCAGCAGAGCAATTAGGAAGGACATTATTTTATATGAAGATACCTACATCAAAAAGTTGTACATAATTTTTAATTAGATCTTCAATTACATTGACTTCTTCACTAGTCTGGCCTTTAGTCTGAAATAAGCATGAGGAAAACACCATGGCTAGTTTGTGAGGGTTCATCTGATTGATTTCAGAACATTTCTGCACCCTGTTGAAGGAAAAATAAATCTATTTAGAAATCTCCACTGTTCCTTCAGTTGTTCAGAGCTCCTCTACAGAATATGGAGTACACGTCAAAAAGAATAACTGCATTAAATGAAATGACCAACCAATACTACTTTTGTTATGTGTACCTGATCTCCCATATCATTATGCAGATATTTATATCACTTGAGGTGCAGATAGAAAGTATTATTTGTTATATTATAGACTCTACAAGCTGGTGATCTAAGATCAAACAAAAAATGGAAAGAAACAGAACCTTTTTTTTGTTTCCATTTTTATCAAAAAGTTTTCATATCAGTTCTATTGTTTACATAATATGTCTTCTTCAGGAAGCAAGCACTTGAAAATATCACCGAATTTTGGCCATTACATGAATATAAACTATTTTCAGAATAGCTATAAGAGTATGCATCTCAACTGGATATGCTTAGAAACATCTTTAATTACAATACTAACTGCAATCATCCCAAGAATAGCACTAATCATTTTAATATTTGCATAAATAGTTTTTAAAAGACACCTGCTCTTTAGCAGCTTTTCTTAAGCATAGTAACCCATAAAATTCTAGTCATTCTCTACTCCCCACTTCACAAGGAACAAACTAACTTGACTTTTTTCATACACACTAACACCAAATACCTATGGCTACCTATGGCAGTACTAATACCAATGGCTACTACTATTTAGACATGATCCTGCAGAATCCTCAAAGTTGCACTTTTTTCCTGATGCTTTTTGGATTTAGTAATACGATTTTTTGTTTGTCCCAGTCTGTATTTTTGATGTTCTCCATTGCTACCTCAGCTGTAAAATGAAGCTGTGATGAAATATAGGAAGGATAGTTAATTCTCAAAGTCATTTTGTGCAACACAATTCAAAGAGAAGGACATTTATTTTGAAAATTCTTTTAATCTCAGGAATCACTTACAAGAGTTCTCTAGAACACCAGCAGACTGGGGTAAATGGTCTCATATAAAGAAGCTCCATGAAAAATTACCCTACTTGAACATAAACACCGGCAGCCCTCTCCCACTGCTCCATCCAACTGATATTTATAGATGCCTACTAGTGAAAATTCAACTGAAACATTACAACGATATAAATTGAAAGGAGCATTGCCTAGGATCTATTATAATTGATCATGGCAACTCTTTAATGCTTGACACTTGCTAGCTGATAGAACAATCCACATTTTATTAGAGTAATACTAGGAGCAGACTACAAGCATTTTTCTACTACAGTGCCTTATTTGCATTGACCTGTAAAGGTGTTCAATTAAAGCTGCCAAAGTTGCTCTATTGACCGATGGAAGGGATCGAATAAAAGCTCCATACTTCCTCACACGTTCCTTTTCATTCTGTGTGTCTGCCAGAAAATAATAATCATTGAGCATTAATGATACTGTACAATGAAAACCAACAGCAATTCTCGTTAAGTACATCAGCAACATCTAGTCATTTAAAATTACAATTTAACCAATCAACCCATTCTTTATGAAGACAATACAGACAATCTACAAAGTCTATTATTGTGCACTAGTTCAGGGAAAGAACACCAGCAATAAAGAGCCACATTCTACATGCAAGCACCATTTGCTCTAGTCTAAGACTAAATCAGGAAAACAATTTTTAATCTGTAGTGCATGTGTGTGTGCATGCGTGAAAATACTTCTAAGAATTTCCAGAGTTGAACAATGACAAGATGTCTTCATCTCTTTATTTTTATTAGAGCAGCAAGGCTCAAAGTAGTTTCAAGTTCTAAGAGTATAAGACTAATATGAGCCAAGGAAGAGAGAAGCAGTGGCGAGGAAGTTATACAAAGTAATGTAGCTGAACAGTGGCAGACAATAACAGCAATTCCGGTCTTGAGAAGGATCGTGTCTGAGAGCTCTTTAAATTAAGCCTGCCTCTCTATGTTGCATAGAGACCCTTGTGTAAAGAATAGAGAGCATTATCCTGCACAGGGCAGAAGTACAATTCCTAACATTGAACAGCAAACAAACAAAAATCTTCTTCATTTGCCTCAAATTTCTTAAAATGAAAACTACAGAAAAGATCCTCAGCTCTTTCAGGTGATTGCTAGAACTCTCAGTTACTGAATGCCCTGTGCTGGGTATTGGAAATTGGATAATTGGAAAAAAAAATCCATCACCACCAGCTTTAAAGTCTTCAACTCAGTAAATTTGATTCTCTAGGGCATCTATCTTCCTAAGTGTTTTGGTCTTCCTACGATTACTTCGGTGTCACTTATCCACAACAGGAAAAGGAATAAAGCTGAAGCAGAATTTTAATCCCCTACACAAATCAGGATGTTAAATCAGTAGGACACCATTATGTACTTTCACAAAAGAACTAATTTAAAACTAAACTGTTATATCTCTAGCTTTTGCTGATTCCTGATGAGATGAGAGCAATCTTGTGATGAGTAAATACATTCTTAATACACTTCTCTCCAGTTTGTTCAAATTGAGGTGAAAGATCAAAAATGTGCAATATTCATACTCAAATTCCCCAAGTTTATAGTGGCTCATATTAAAGCAATATGTATATGTCTAAACTTAAGCAAAATCAAAGTGAAATGTCATTTTAATCATCCTTTCTACAGGAAAAGTTAGCCATATGGTAAACAGGCATATAATATTTCAGAGCGCTAATGCAAAATCTAATGCTCCATGTTGGTTTTTCTTTTGCATTGTCTATTGCTATGCTACATATACAGCTCATCCCCTGTAAGGTTTTAGGCTTACCATTTCACACAGGGAAGTTAAAATAATAACTCGGCCTGATATTGCAGTAGAAACCAGTGGGAAAAATACCATTCTCATATGGGCTGGCAAGACAAACATTGGACCATCTTCCACCATTCAACAGCACAGTTCATGAGCCATGAGGAGCTTTTGTTTCTTGCATTATATAAATAGGGCAATATAAAAACATAAAGATTCCTAATTTGCAGGAACCACAAAAATGATTTATGTAGTGAGTAACTAATTAATTTGTTAGCCCTTGATTTGAAAGGCATACATCCTCATGTTCCAAACAGATCTTAGTGTGTTATAAGTTAAGTACCCTAAGTTATACTTTGGGTTGACAGTAATGTCAATTTTTTTCAAATTAAATTCACTTTTCTAAGGAAACAAAAAATAAGTAGCAATTGTTAATAAGTCTATATTATTAAAATACAAACATGCATCTGCAGGAAAAGTTTTATAAATGTATTTACAGAACATAAATGTGAAAGCTGTAATCTATCTATCTATCAGGCAGATGACAACTTGGTAAAAATTCTTCTGTTTCTTGAATTCTATCATCAATACTTCCATGAAAAACTGATCATCCCTACTTACTTTGTCTGATACAACTAAAACACAATGAAATATTGGTTTACTGATATATTGTCAAGCAAACATCATTATTTTTTCATATTATTCTGGTTCACTTAAAGGCAGATTTCTGACAAATGAATCTACTGCAGTCAATCTCTTTAAGTAATTTTTCCCCCTAGTGTATGTGTAATTATTTTCCTGATTATAAAAACATCTAGTATATGTCTACATAAGGCAAACAATAAACAAAATCCTTAAATTTGACACTGAAAATGTGCATAAGACCTTCATTGTATCCGGAGTTATTGAACATATTACCTAATGCAGAGATCCAGAAGGGGTAAAGTTCTTTAGTGAGAAGTGCATCATCTATTTGAGAAAGAAAACTCTTCAGTACATCAGTCACATCTTCAAGCTGATGTTTTCCAGCTCTTAGTTTAACACTTCTTGCATCTTTTTTGAAGTTTTCGAGCAGTTCAGCCACATTGGAGGAATTGCCATTCTTGAGATAGATCTCTTTGCTACCTAAACCTAAATTACAGGAGCATATGAGAAAAAGCAACAGCAGCAAGCAGCAACAACAACAAACCAAAGAGAGTAAAATGTTGTTTTAAAAATTTGAAACCTTATCACACAGAAAGTATGTCTTTCTAGCAAACAGACTGTGATTGCTACCACTGTATCTCTAAGCACGAGATATCACATCCTCACTTTGTGAGAGGAAAACTCTGACAAGTCTGCTTACACCCACCACAACTTTGTAAATACACTGATCCTAATGTTAAGCAATCCTGATTGTAATTTTAGCAGTACTTTACAGACAAGTTCAAATCCCAGATCTCTTCATGGCTTTCTAAAATCATGGTTTTCAAAAGCACAGTAGTTTTGATCACTGGCACTGGCTCTATGCATGCAGAATGATTGCTTTCAAACCAGTACTCCTACACTTTTCTTCATCTACCGATTAACTTGACTTGGGACTCAGTAAAGCTTTATTGTATTCATAATCTGACATATTTCATTCTTAAAAGACTCGATATCAGTAGAAATAATTCCTTTTTTGTCCTGCTTTCTATCAGGTTCAGGAAGCTACCAGAAAGACTTCAACAATGAGTCATTATTCTTATATGCAACAACTAAAACCTCCAAAGCCCGAAAACAGCTTAAAAATCAGTCTACAACACAGTTAAATGCGACCTTCAATCACTGAATGTGAAAGTAGACAGAAACAAATTTTTGTTTGCTCATTTTAGTGCTTGTGGAAGCTTAGCATAGATGTTCAGCCTCATTTTTTGTTTGTTTTTGTTTTTTGGGCAGGAGGCAGGAAATGGGCTTCCCCATTTGCTGGAGAAAAGAGAATCATACTTCCTACAAACACTTGCCTTCCCTATGTACTAGTAAAATGAAGAATTCTGCCCAAGTCTAGGCATCTTACATTATTCTGCCAGCCCCCTTGTGCTCTAACGCCCACAAGTGCTCCCGTTTCATGCTGTTTGTGGTATTAACTTTGATGAACCCAACGGGGTCTCGCAGCTGTAGGTCACAACTAATGACAGAGCCTTTATGATGACAGCAAAAACAGGCTGTATACAAATAGTAATTCCTCACACAAATAATAATTTCTTCCTAACATCTTCAGCTAACATTTCATCCAACAAAGAAGACAAAAAGATTTAAAAAGATTATATAACTTTATTTTAACTTAAAACGTATCTAGTGACAATTCTAAGTGCGGAACATTATTATGAGGCTTTAACATTTCAGTGCATGAAATATAGTAATTCCTATTGGTAATGACAAAACAAACAAAAAATGCAAATTATTTTTTCTTTAGTAGTCAGATGTTATTTGCTTAAATATCCACTCTCCACCACTGAAATATAAATTAGGCTTTCTCATATTGGCAGAGGTCACAGAGAGCACTATCAGGACAACAGACTTGCACAGGGTTGATAAATATCTAGTGTTTCACAAGAGGACTGATTAATTCTCAGCAATACAAAGGACAAAGATCTCATCTATATATGTTCTAATGCTATGGAAAATTATGCTGGGGATAATTACTTAAGCAAACACTAAGCAATTATACTTCCTTAGGCCATTATGCTGAAACAGAAGCACGCTTATGGCTCAGCACAGGCAACACAGCTTATACCAGTTTCCCCAGAAGATATGCTGACCAGTCCAGGCCATAATCTCTGCTGGTTCTCACAGAAAATTTTGGCCAGAGGTATTCTGCCCTGAGGCACTGAACTTAAAAGGCTGAGCCACATAAATAAAATTTAAAATTATGAAGGAAGGCCTAGTGAGTTGCCTCTCCTCAGGCTGCTAATTCTCAGATGCACTGCTTTGTACTTTGCTATCCCATCAAGGGCTAATGAGGGACATGGGTTTAGTTTATGTATGCATACATCTATTCAATTTGTATAATACCTAAATTGAATAAAAATCTGCTATACTTACCATACTGTGTAACAAATGCTATACAGCTGTTCACTATAATAGGAACATCATTTTTGCTGAGCTGCTGATCTTGTAAGGCATTGCCATCTGTACCTGCTGCTTTTTCGATTGCAGTATACCAAACCATGAAATCCAGCTTCGTATGACCATGGATATACAATGTTCTGCAAGGTTTAGAAAGATTTTGAAAACAGAAATCTGTTATTATTCTACTATAAAGCATAGCAGTTATCAGGAAGAAAATAATAAAAATCAAAAACAAAGTTTTGAGGAAATATTTGGAATAAGGCATAAAGGAACCTTCTTTCCAAGAAAGTAGTAGTGATTTGATCTAATTTTTATAATACCTTTATTCTTCAGTAAAGAATTACTGTGCATTCATCCATTCAAGTAACTGTTAAGCAGGATGCACAGATTTACAGACAACTTTCAATATAAGAGAAAGCTTTCTTGTTCTCACTTTTTTTGTTTGTTTGTTTTCACATAGTTACACTATTCTTCAGTACTATTATTCCCAAATCAGCGATGGTGAGGATTGTGATTTAGAATTGACATTTAAGTGCTTCTGATCACTTTCATTTTTAAAGCACACATTTATACATATTACTATTTTCTTTTTCTACAGAACAGAAGGATTTGCATTAGAGTACTACACAAAAAGATAAATGAAAGTATCAACAGATTTTTTGTTATTCAAAAAAATGTGATATAGACAGGATGCAGGGTATGTTAGTTGAAAATATAAATATGTCTAAACAAAAAGGCAACTCTTCTGTTTATCGGTGAATAGATAATAGAGGAAGGGAGAAAAAATAATGATATTAAACTTCAAAGCTAATTAAATTAAATGCATTGTATTTATATATTTTCATAGAGATACAAGTCTGAATCATGTGCCATATATACAAATTACTCAAAACTGTGTGGAGCAGAATAACCTGTAGGACCCTGTATGGATTTTCTCATCTTCCCCTCAATGGGGTTACTATATCATGTAAAAGAAATGGACCAGAATTACTAAGATATTGTGTTTTTTGTTGTTTTTTAAAAATATGACAAACTGTCAAGTTAAACTCTGTTTCTAGAGAAGCGGGTTTCTTTCAGCTCACAAAGAAAAGAGGCATCTCTTCAAGTAGGAATTGTACAGCACCAACACATGAGCAGATGATGTGAAAACACAGACATGAGAAATCTTGCTTATGTTGTGGAACTTCTGTTGTTAAAGAAGGTGACTAATTAATTTTTAAAATATATTAATTTTTCCCAGTCAAAAATCTCCAGAACAGCCACCTGGGAGAATTTCAACATCAGAGAGGCAATTTCAATAATTACCACAAAACCACAAAAGAGGAAGTGAAACCAATTCAAGACCCAGTTCTGAATTCAGTCAATTTAATGCAGAACTGGCTTGGAAAGCTCATCTCAAACCACACCTGGCCTTTCCCTTGACAAAGTGCACCTAGAATACATTTAAACCACATAAGAATATACAGCAGTGTATAAATAAGAAGTTTAACTATCTCTTCTACATCAATTTTTTAACACTTCCAGCTTAACTAAACAACAATGTTTTCCTACTTTGAAATTGTTTGTTGACATCCCTCTCTGAGCACCTGCAAAATGGTTTAAAATAAAGAGGAAATGGTCATCAGCAGGCGTGTGGAAAATTCCTCAAACCTCATCAAGTTTTCTACAGAATTTAGCCCATCTTCACAGGCATATTCTACAAACTCCGGTGTTTTTTACCTATTTCCGTAAACTTCATACAACAAAGTCTGTATTAGTAAAGTAGTGATATTAAATGATTCCGGGTAAGAGCTGTGAGGAGGGAAGAAGGGAGAGAAACAGAGAGCAGCGCAGCTCAGTGTCCTCAGGGAAGTTTAACTAAAAGTCTACAATGTCTGAAAACTGAGGAAATAAAAAGGTATCTGATGCTATCAAATCATTTAAAAATAAACAACTGCAACTAAAGCACAGAAATGCCACTGATAAGAGATATATAAGGAAGGTCAGCAATATTTCTTCAAGCATGTTAACAGAACATCATACTAGAATCATAGGTCCTTTTACTCAGTTTTGGCTGAGTCTTATTTTCAGATTACCTATGGATTCCAGGATTTTGTGCTTATAATTGCATTTTACAGCATATCTTATTGCTTTCATCAAAGAGGTAATGAGAAAGTGATGTAGTTAAGGAACCATCAGCATAAAAAAATTGTGGCACTATTTTGGGAAGGTTTACCTCTTATAAGAAAGATCTAACTACAAGAGAAGTGTAACAAGAGGGAGGTGGATGGGAAATAAAAACAACAACAATAAAAAACAATCACCAAATCACTGCCTGGATTACACCAATTGGCCTGATTTGCTTAATTTATAGAAAAAAAATAATTCATTTTCGAGCTTCTATTAATTCTGGACAAAGTCTATTCATTTAGTTTTATATTAATTCTTAACATTGATTTTGGTGACTAAATTATTTATCCCAGGTTTAACTAACTAAAGAATTAATGTGAAAGTTGTCAATCAATCAGGGATAGAGACTTACCACTTTTCAGAGTCCCGATTTTATTACTTTGTATTAATGAATTTACCTACAGCAATGGTGAGGGGGCAGGGGGAGGAAGAGGAAATTGCCTTTTTTTTTTTTTTTCCAATATACCAAAATCGAGTCTGAAGTTAATTTTATACTTATTTATTTTTCACCACTGCAAGATGCAACATCATGCAATTCTGCAGAACAGCTGAAGACTTCCGGAAAAATATCCTAAGTAAGAATCACTACGTAAGAATCACTTATGGAAGACTTCAGTGGAGAAAAATTCAACATATTCATGGTCATAACACATCAGCCAATGCTCCCCTTCATATTATTTTCAAATAGTTTAGATTTTCTATTAAACTATTAAAGAAGTTCAAGGAAAACCTGTCTTCACTTGAAGAAATATTAGAATGAAGAAATAATAAAATCTGACTTGGAGCTAAAAGTTTTGCTCAGCACTGATATCTATGAAATTAGATGTATGGTTTGCATCAATCTGTTGGACTGCACCTTGAATAGGATACCTCTTGTTCCCTAGTTGCTCCATGCATCTTATTTAATGCTGAACTATTTAGTATGATTCTTGAAGGCGGGGGGGGGGAGAGCGGGGAAGGGAAAAGGTGTTTCCTTCTAATCTACATCACCTTGTTAAATTCTGGTATACTACTGAAGTAACAAAAATGTATAGATGTATCTGAGAAAGGCTTAAAATTGACACAAGCGCAAGGAGTTTTTTTTTCCAACACTGCATAGATGCCAAAGGAATCTACCTTCCCCCACCCCGAGAGATGCAATCAATTTTTTTTTTTTTAAGTTAGTATCAGCTGTTCAGAAGGCTGAGTAAACACAGGATCATTTCTGATACAGATATTTGCCCAGTATTCTATCCTTGAGAAAAAGAAATCCTTTTATAAATTATTCCAGTTTTCAATAATTTTACTACCCCCTAATTCTAAATAAAGCAGAGATACCCCTCATTTTATAAGTTTCACCCTCCTGTATCGTTACAGCCATGATAGTAGAACACTGAAGCGGACTTCTCAGGCATCTATTTTTCCAGCTAGTATGCTACTAACTTCAAACAGACATTGCAATAAGACTAACCAAGTGAATAATACACACTCTCTCATGTCCTACTCTACACAGGTTTGCATAGAGAATTCTCGGACATAAGAGTGGAAGAAAATGAGAAGTGATAAATGCTCCACAGAAGTACTTTATTTCTTTACAAGCTAAAGGAAGTTGGGTCCTTTTGAAGAAACAATTAATGGCAGACTAATCTGACTGGGAATAATTTTCTCAGTGGGAAAACTGCATTTAATTAAGCAGTACTTGTTAGCATTTCCTGACACAGACATAAAATGTAATTAATACACAAAGTCTTTCCTCCTTTAAAATGTCTGCAAATTTACTGACTCTCTAACAACCTCAAGTGAATAAACCCTACGACTGATCAGCAAGAATTCTAAGATATCAATATACAGGCAGATCACACAGCTTTATTCAAAAGAGATCCTTACCTTCCCTTCTCAACAAGCAGCAGGACATCTATTTTTTCTCCATTTTGCATCACACTACTGATTGCTAAAAACAAAGCGCACACATATTTATATTATATACATATTATATACATATACACACATACAAATATAAACATTTTTCTGTGATCTATGACAGAAGCAGCATGAAATTCCTAATAATATTTAAAATATAGAATGCTGCTTGATAATATAAAACAAAACACTGGAATAAAAAAATACTTTCTAATGTGAAAACGTGCTACAGTGTGTTGTATTACATTAAAATTAAACTTGTAAATTCAAATTTTATGGGACATAATGACTCAGAACATGCAAGTTCCTGCAATGTGAAATGCAGCAGCACCTACAAAGATGATAATCAATAGAGTGCTAAATTATTTTATCTACATTACTTTTACAAAATCTCAATTTATTTTTACTTTGATATACAGAATATTGTCTTGCTCAATATAACAAAAACTAAGGCAGATATGCTTAAAAAGAGCTCAAAGTATAATTACAGACATTGATATAAAAATGGTTATGAAAGGCTGCTCTAAATATTCTTAACTTTTCTACATCATGAAACCCAGCAAAGATTACTTTTAGTATCAGGAAAGGCACAAAAAAAAAGGAAAACTATTAGTCCCTTCAAAGAGAATTATAATTTTTCCAATACTTTTGAGTATTTAAAAACTAGGCCTGTCAATCATCTCAAGAATAGATTCTGCAGCGAGCACTTCTGCACTATCAAGAAGACGAAAGAATAGTCCCAAAAGGTCACATATTATTATACAATTCTGTACTCTTGTAAGATAGATATTGCTGCAACTGGAGCAAAAATTGTCCTCATTCATTATGAAGCAGTGAAAATATCTCTACCGTGTACCATCATGTGGGGAGAGAGGAGGAAAACAAGCAAACAAAAAAACAAACAAACAACAAAAAAACAAGACAGAACTTCATCATATTTAGAAGAGTTGGGATAGCATCAAGCTCATGCAAAGGGATCTTTACTGAGCTTCCTAATATTTATGATTTTAAAATGCCACAGGAATTATGAAAACAATAGATTAGAGTATTTCCACAATTCTATATGTTAACTAAAATTCTTACTTAGTTCTTGAAGCCTCCTTAAATATATTGAGTCTTCTTGAGCATTCTCCATTTCACAACAGAAATGCAGGCTTGACTTGTCTAGAGCAAACCAGCCCTTTCGCCACTGCTCCAGGGTATGGCAGTCCTTGAAGAACAGCTGCCCAACCAGATCACAGTCCCTCTCCAATAAGCATCCAGCCACAGGCGGGACAAAATGCTACCAAACAGAATGAAATGAGTTACAACAACACTGCCCCTTCTTTCCACTAAAAAAAAAAAAAAAAAAAAAAAAAAAAAAAAAAAAAACACCCAAGATATTGGAAATTTATATGATACAAAGAAGAATCCTGCATTAAAAGATGACTTTTGGATTTATCATTCATAAAAGGACATAAACACTAAGTTTAAATTATAGAATCAAGTATAGCACATTTTTCTTCACTCATACTGTATAATCCATATGTTTTCCTAAGTTGCAATCAGTTTTATTAGCAATATGACTATTAGCATCTGGTACTGTATACGGTATTAGGTACATTATTGCTTTAGGAATTTTGAAATTTGTACCTTTTTTCTTGTGGCAACAACTGTAAACAACTTAGCTGAATTAAACTAGTGACAGTAGGTCATTACCCACTGAAATTAGCAACTGTTCTTACACTAGCGCACCTTTAAGATATTCTAAAGGCCAGTATTAAAATTTCAATTCCTTTTCCATTTTGTTGTATTTCCTCATTTCAAACACTAAAGCACAGAATTAATTTCTTCCTGTTATAAAAAACAAACAAAAAAACAAACAAACACCCCAAACTCTTACACAGGAGATAGATCCGTGTTCATCAAGAATGACTTCCCAGAAGATTTTAAGCCAAGAATGCCACTTTACTCTTTGTGCAAAGGCTCCTGGCCAAATTTAAAAGGATAATTATAAGTATTACCTTAGCTATTGCCCAAGTCCATTTTCTTTGTGAATATGCAGTTTCAGCTCCAAACAGAAAAACACGTTCTGACATTAAGTAGATTTCAAAGGTAAAGATGTCCCTAAAGCAAGCACAGGAAAAAGACAGCTGTATTTAGTCTTCATAATGGTAGATAAGCAAGAGCTTAATTTCTCTCTCCATGCTTTCATTATTCCATTCCTTTGGAATGGAATCCATCTGCATTTCTCCTCTGATGTTACAACCTGGCTAATAACATTGGGTATTTTATATAACACAACATGATCAAAGTACATCACATCAGTTAACATGTTTAAAAGCTACTGCATTCAATTCTGAAATTAATAAAAATATTTAAATATAGTCTTTAAAATTCAGAGGCAATTATTTGCTTTTGCAAATTCATGTGATTTCAGCAAGAATATTGTTGTGACACATTTCAAACAGTTTGTTTAGATTCAGCGCAAGCAGACCAATTAATTGACCGGGAAGTTGCAAATAAGTTACCATAGAATCACTGAAACGTTGGTTGAAAGGGACTTCTGGAAGTCATTTGGGCTGCTCTCATGCTCAAAGCAGGACAATCACTACATCTGAATGAGGTCACCAATGGTTTGGTCTAGCCAAGTCTTGAATCTTCAAGAATGGAGATTTGCTTTATGCTTGGCAAGCCATTTCAGTTCTCCACTACAGTTTTTAATAGAAGAGCTCCTAGCTTCCACACTGAACCTCCCCAGCAGCAATTTGCGGCCACCACGCTCCTTGGATTGCCTGCCACTATCAAAAACAGTTTGGCTCTGCCACATTTCTACCTATCCTTTTAAGTGGTTGTAGCAGGTCAAGGAGTTCTTAAAAGATGTTTCTTTTCATTAATATATTGTTGTTTTAAAAAATGGACGTATTTACTTCCAATTAAAACTCTCAAGAAAAAATATACTAAAATAGCATAGTATATTAAAAAAAGAATATGGAAGACAGTCAACTTGCAACTAGAATCAAACTGTGATCTCTCCCTAAAATATAAATCAACTGACTGTTCTTTTTACTTTCAGTGCTAGAGATTAAGATGTGTCTAGTGGGTCTGAGAACTCAGCCTGGATCACTTTTTTCTTTTAAACGACCTCTTTGAAAATCACATATAAATACTGAAATTCAGGATAAATACTGAAATAGGATAAGCATTTTAAGGAAAGATTGATTTAATACACAAAATATATATTTTATCAAAGCTGAACAGCAGTCTTGCAGCAAGACTAAAGTCAGCCATCATTGTTACCCTTAACTTTGCTGCTCTTTATTTTTTTAATCTTTTTGTGTGTTTGAAAAATAACAAACAGCCTTGCTGCAGTTTTAGTTTAATGCACATCTTGCACAAAATTAAAAATAATTTCTATTGAGTTTTTGCAGTCAAAGCAAAACATCTTTGTTCACCTCTGTCACCCAATTAAAGACATTTATAAGGCAGGATTTTCTTCTTCTCCATGACCCATTTTTTCAGTTAAACTTTCAGAACTCTTAAGAACTGCTCATCACTCCCACAGAAACTTCATATGTACCCATTCTCTCTGGTGCAGCATTTGAACATCTCAGAATGACTAATGTTTCAAGAATGTACAGAAGTTGGGGAGTACTCTTGGAAATAGTGGGTTTTTTTTCCTTGTGACTCTGAGACAGTCATACATGTGTATACACACTATTTCCTCTGTATTAATGTTTATACAAAGCCTTTAACTTTCTTTTAAACTTTAAAAAGAGCACAAAAGGTTAACTAATATTTGTTGTGCCATTTATATCTTATTTCAATATATGTCATCTTTCTATTTTAAACTCAAGACAACAGTTAATTCCTTTAAACTCTCAACATTGTAGACAGATGATAGCATGTGTGAAAGACGTAAAAGAAAAACAAGATCACAGAAAAAGTCACATCAAGACCATCTACTGAGGAGTCCCACCACCCCACTCTATGTAGAAAGAACCTGGTATCTAAAGTTGGAGAACTTCAGGAATGAAAGCAGCCAGAAAAAGTCATCATCTTCAGACTAACTGACTTTTCAACAGTTACACTTGCAGAACAAAGAAAGGGTTTCAGAGACCAACAGACCTGTAACCAAAACCCAAAGGATTGTAAAAAGCTCTAAACTGCTTTATTATTATGTGGAAGGAGGGGAAAAAAAAAAAAGTTTTAGCTTGAGGCAGATGTCAGTCCCAGAAAGAAAAATTACTATTAATTTTTCAATTTGTCATTGTGTAACCTTTTAAGTGTTGAGAATATGCATTATAGTTTTAATAAGAAAGAGATGTATCTAATTTATGCTGCCCTTTTTTGTGATATAATTATCATTATATCACAAAAAAAAAAAAAAATCCCCAAATACAAAGCACTTCCTTCTTCAAGTCGACATAAAACAATTCAGCTTTTTTCAAAAATTTTTTTCCGCACCCCTCTCCCTCCCCGTAAAACACATGGTCAAAATTGAGGAACAAGTGAACCACCATGAAAACCAAGAAGCATTACTGTATCTGTATTTATTAAATTAACAACTCTGGAACCTACCCTCTATTTAAAAAGAAGTCCGTCTTGTGCACTACAAGACAGATGACTTCACTGATGTCAATCATTCCATTCGGAGTGGTAGCTTTATCATTTTCATAGTAGCTTAGAAAGCCACTTTCCAAAGTGCACCATCTTCTGTTGCAATCTGTGATTAAAGAAATAATGAGGAAAAAAAAAACCAGTTGATTTTATATATATATGTATAGATAGATATAGATATAAATATAGTCTCTTGCTATAAAAATTCCCTCATAGTATGCACAGAAATAAGTTTATGATGAAATCTCAGTACCACTGACAGGCCAAGAAGTTGACCTATTTTCCACTGTTAGGTGATGTTAGGGTGCTCTAGCACTTTCAGAAGTTGTATTATTTAACATCATCAAGAAAATACATTAAAAAAATACCTTCCTGAAATAGTACAGCCTGCTAACCTGGAGAACATACAGAAACTATACTGATAGAACAATCCTTTCAAGGTGCATCAGTGGTTGAGCTCAGTTCTCTCCTCCTGTAGGCTCAGATGTCAAACAGTGAAATTATACAGATTTTATTCCCAGATTACTGGTCTAGAAAAAAATATATACTGTAGACAAGCAGTACCTATAGCCATTTGGCTATGGGCATGTACACATTAGAATGAGCTACAGATTTCTACTGTGGCAACTCACTCATATACCTGGGGAGCATAAATTCATTTAGCAACACTATAGTTTACAGAGTGCCAACATACATAGAGTGCTTTCAATTTGTAACAATTTACAGATACTAAGTATGGATAGTATTACCAGGTTAAGAGATGCTATCCTGAAATAAGTTTGAATGAGAGCTATCAGACTATTTAGAAATTAACACAGATTTCTGTTAAAAAAAAAAAAATCATACAAGTCAAAGGAAAAAAGAACTCTGTAGATCAACTCAAAATATTACTCAGCATATTTAGTTTTTTACTCCCTCTTAAGAACCTAGATATGAATACAACATGTAAAATAAAATATTAATGCCTACTTGCTACTCAATACATTCATTTTAGTTTACAGATGTTTTACAGAATACATTCTGGTGGGCATCTATGCTCAGCACAGCACAGAAACAAGTCCTAAAAGAAAAGTACATTGTGGGGTTTTTTCCTCCTACAGGCTTAAAATCTTTACACTTTTGCATGTATTCTGGCAAAATATTCATAAGAATTTGATAAAATGAAGAACTGTAACAATAATAGCAACAAATAACCTGCCCCCTCCATCATTTTACTTGATACATTAACTGCCTTTTTTTTTTTTTTTTTAAACAGGGTACAAAAAATGCCGTGTGGTTTGCTCACGTTACAAATATTTTAGGCTGCCATTTGTTTATTCTTATTATTTTTAGGTTAGTTTCAATCCAGTTTTATATATACTATATATAGATATTAAATACTAAAGCAAACATGAGATAAGGGTTTTGATAACATAAAGGGTTACAGCAGTTGAGCACAAAACATGAAATGTCAGATTTTTGGTTTTTTTTTGTCTTCCCTCACCCTGTCGCCAAAGGGTGCCCCTTCTACAATGCAGTTACTGCTTTACTATTACATGAATTGTTACCATACTCAAGGTTAACCTAGGGATGCCAAGACTTTTAATGGGATGCCATTAAAACTTTTACATTAAAAAGCGAGACAAAATCCAGAATACACCACCACAGCGCTAACCTTTATTTTTTTGATGAATTGCATCAGAATAGCCCCCGTGTTTGAACTCTCTTCCCACTGCCCATCAACAGCGGCTAACTAGCACTCCCCCCAAGCTAGGCATTCCCACTGAAACCACTGCTTCTGTTTTAATGAGGAGTGCACTCAAAATTGCCTTCCTCCCTCCTGCATCATCTGAAACCCACACGGTGAAAAACAATCCATTTTTTTCGCATACTCTGCCTAATTATTTATAAAACCTGGGTTCAGTTCACAGCACAGAAAGATTCCTTGCATTTCATTTACAATTAGCGCTGTGCCCACAGAGCCATTTCGGGGACAACAAGCACAGCGCTGAAGTCTCCAGCCCTTGGCACTGACAAGGCAAGCATTGACAACTGCCTCCGAAGGAGATGCACACACTGTGAGAGCACTCAGCCTAATGGTTAGAGAGCCGAGCTGGCTTCTGGCTCCCGGCCATTTCCTCAAACTGCATTAAAAACAAAGCAAAGCAAAACAAAACAACTCTGGGACAGGGCCCAAAACTTTGGCAAGAGCTCTGACCCCCCTCCAAGGCCTGGGCATCCTCTCTGCTCATTGGTACCTGGCTTAATGAGTCACAACTGCTTCAGCAAAAGAGCTCATTGCTCCTCTCCAGAGCTGAAGAGGCAGCTCTCTTCCTCTGGCTATGCAACCAGTTGCACTGAACCTTCTCGGACAGAGCAGGGAATTGAAACTGTCTCTCGCACACACGGCTGCTCTACTCTAACCATCACGGCAGCAAGAACAGGAAGAAAATAAAACATGATCTCACCAACACCTGAAGGTCCATGGGGTGCATAACCCATATTAATTCACCTTAATGAGATTTTATGAAAGTATATAGTTACTCATGCAGGAAAAAAGAGCACAAGAACAAAAAAAAAAGATTACAAATACTATGTTTTAAATAGTGAAAGGCCTTTTCCCATACTACCTTTCTAGACATTGCTGAGATCCATTAGATTTGTCAGGCAATAGGAATTTCCCATTGAAAACTATAACTTTTTCCCCCTCATTTTTAGCAGTTAGTAACATCTATGCAAATATCATTAAGGTGATAAATATTTTAAATGCTTTTATTTATCAATATTTAATATATTTTTTCAGTAATTTTCTTTTGAATTTTCTTGATTAAAGAGATTAAGGCAATCATCATTTTCTTTATCTGAAGGAGATCTACAGGATTAAGAAAGTACATGTCATTTATCTTTAAAAAGTATATATATTTTAAAATACATACAAATATATAAAGTAAAAGCAAAATACCTTCTTTTAATCTCTTCTCTGTAAGAAGCTTAGCAGTATTAGAAGAAACTTTGTATAAAAATTCACAAAGAAAGGTGGAATGCAAAGAATCTTGAGAGAAGTCACATTCAAAACAAGCATCAGTGTTTGGAAAATCTATTAAGAAAAAAAAAAAGCAGGAGTAAGCAACACAGAACTTCCTCTACTACCAGCTATAATCAGTTCTCCTCATGTCTGTCTTCAAAGCTACAGCTGCTCTGTAATATTTCTTCTACTTTTTTTCTTTTTTTTCTTTTTTTTTCTTTTTTAGAGAGTAAAAAAAAAAAAAAAAGCAAACCAGATGGCTTATCTGGATGCTTAC